CAATAACAATATGGCTCATGAGGAATGTGTCTGAAGGTTGGGTAGAAATGTAGCCGTGTGTTTTTCGCTGTTTCAGCTACAGCTAATAAATAATCCAAATAATCCCAACATACTGATGATGGGTTGGGCTGCCTCATAAAGTAAACGATCAGTCAGATTTATTTGGGAAAGTGGTGTGATCCGAATCCTGAGAGAGGAGAAAGTGAGACAACTTGATCCAACACACACACACAGCCAACTACGTACGTACGAGTTCTGGCTGCTGCTTGGCTTCTGCTGCTCTGATCCTGCCTTGCTTTCTCTGCATCCACCAAAATCACATTGATGAGGCAGAGAGAGCAGTCAGACTGCTGCAACGGGATGAAGCCGACTTTCACGCGTGTTCGAAATTTTAATCATTTGTCACGTGCACTTTTCCTCCAACGGCATTTATCTGCACTTTTGCCTTCATCAGATTACGTTATTACTCCCGAGCAGGAAATGCGAGAGAAGATTTCGCAGACGGCTCAAGCAAATTGGTTCCCGTTGGGAGAGGAGATGTTTAAAAATAATAATCACGAGGAGACATCTTCCATTATGTGCGAGATCTCAACTGTGTCAAACAATGACAAGGGGCACAATGTATCCATGCTAAATTTGAGATGAGAGTGGCATCATTTATTGTGTCACTGAGGAGATGAGGGGCCATTAGCAGGTACGAAATTATTGTGGTTGCTCCAGCCAGCACTACTTGGGAGATATAAATCCAAGAAGGGTGTTGAGTATCAGTGTAAAGAAGCAGCCAGGTGAGAAATAGTGAGAAAATTATGGGTCAATCCTTTGATCCAGCGACAAGACGTGATGTAGGATTTGGTTGTACAAGAGTAAACGGGCGGTTGGTGGTGACTGCGGAATAATGGGAGCAGGATTTTCACTCGGCATCCTTCCTCTGGGGGATTTACAACATCCGTTCTTCATTTTCCAAGGAAATCACTGAGCAAAGCTTCTCTGCGGGTTTCCACCACCACCTCCACCCGGAAGAGGAGAAGGAGAAATGGTCTTCTCCGCCTTTGTGCCACTAATAATAACGCGCGACTCATCTTCTTCTCATTCTGTTTGGCAACCTCCACAATTTACTCCTTACTTTTTATCTCCCCACTACTCCTCTCAGCTCATCATCTGCTGTGATACATACATCGGACAACAACACTGAAGGCCATGGCTCATTGTCGCCACAGATTTTTCGTCCAGATTGCACCTCCACTACTTCGAACGGTGATGAGACAGATCTTTTTCACAGAGACTGAAATTAAGCTGTAATCAACTCCAACTAAGATTTCGAGTTGTCACAAAAAATTTAACTCATGATGATCCGAAAATGGTTTAATATTAAGAAGATGAAAGTCGGTTCGAGCCAGTTCACTGGATGGATGATGGTTGGGTCCAAATAGTTGTTTTAGAATTTGTGGTGGTAGGAGAAAGAGAGAGAGAGAAAGGTCTCCAGTCACAGATACCCTCTCCTCCGTGACATCTTAATTTACGAGCCTTTGTTCTCCAGCCGATGCTTCACCCCCTTGATTCGACAGGGCTGCTGCTGCTGGGATGACACAACGGAACGGTGGTGGTATATTTGAGCACGGAAGTAGCGAGCGATATCAGAAGCAGCAGCAGCAGCGTCGTCGTCGTCTCGAGACCCCAACTGGCCCTCGCCGAACGTCAAATTATTGACTAATAAAGGATTTTAATGGCCTTAAGCACTTAAACTGCGGACCAACGCCATCCATTATGCCAAGCTATCGGGTTGGGAGCTACAAATTGTTCCACTCCTCCTTCCTGATTTGTGACGGCTGACTTTCTCCTCCATAATCAACTCATCTTCGTCAGTGGTGGTGTAGCATGGGTCCGCAGAGAGGGATTAGTTCGACAAGTGAAAGAAATTAAAATAGTTGCACTTTCAGCTCACAAATTTTATCCCGTCTTGTCCAATTTTCTTTGCTACCAGCTCGCCTAGTGCGTTGACTTTGAGCCCCCATTCCAAGTTTATTTGCGCATTTCTTAATATTTATTATGAATCTAAAAGTTGAAAAGGGCAGAAATTCCGGTTCAAAAACTGTTCAGTGCAAGCTCGACTGCCGCTTATTACATTTTTACTCCTGATTTATTCCTCAATAAAATTATGGCGAGCTCAACACAACGTTTACATGCGGAAGGAAGAAGTTGGTTGTGGGTGCACAAAACATGACTCAACTTTCACTCCGAAAGACGAAGAAGGGAAGAAACTTGGAGATGTGATGGTACAACAACTTCTGGGCGCTGCTAACTAGTTTGGTTGTAGTAACAGCAAAAATGACGCTACCAACTACGTTCACTAATGCAAAGAATCGGGACGAAAACTAATTGCGGGCCATTTATCATTGCAACAACCAAACAAGATGCGAGAAGGGAGGAAGAAGAGGCAGCCAACAACCACCTTTCCCGTTTGTACTTGTCTCCTTGCATCCTCTTCTCCATCCACTTGCCCACGAAGACATGCAGGTGACGAATGAATCACATTTCTCACATTTCCTTCGCCAAATTTCCCCACAAAGAAAAGCCCAGAATTTAACATAAACATGTGCTGAAAAGTTTTTGAAATTATTTAAAGCCCAATTATTACAAGCATATTAATCCGCATGCGATGGATAAATCACTGTAATTAATAGCTTCGGTTTGTTATATGTTACCTCAAAAGCGAGTAATGTGGTTTGGCGTGGGAGTCTGTGGTGCAGGGTGTTGTACATGTGTTATGAGTATATTTGTGGTTGGTTGGCAAACGTGGAATAGACTTCCTGTCTGCTGCTCCTTCTTCACATTTAGTTCGGATACCGATGATAGATTAGTGCGTCTGAGGTCACAGTCGGGTTATATAGCCATCTTCAATTTCGGATTTTGCCACAACTGCACCCAGCAGCAGTCAAAATGCGTATAGTCCAGCTTGAGAATATATTACGTACACAGGTTTGGTGAAAACCGTGTGGTCCGGCCACTTGGAATCATTCATGACAACCCACGCGAGAGGGAAAAGCTGACCACATTTCAGCGACGGCTTGTATCTTCTCCGTGGTTCAAGAAAGTGATTCATATCAATTTTTAAAGGCATAAAAGAATTTATGGGTGGTTATAAAACGAACGAATGTTCGGAAATAAATTCAAACGTCGTGTTTACATTTCATTGTAGGCGGAATGGACAAGGCTGTGCTCAATCTCTCGCTCGCTCTCTCTCCCTTTATTCCTTTGTGCTAGAAATGGATGAATGATCACATTTGGTGGATATAGTTTTTGTGGTGGCTATCCGCATCGCCAATTTTGAGCTATTTTCTCCACTCAAGTCGACTACCTTTGCCAGGTGTGGGGGAAAATGGTTGAAACATTACAAGCTTTTGTTACCTATCGACTAGACTCTTGACAGACATTTGTGGCCAGATATACATAAAATATCGACACCTTTTTTCCTCGAAGTATGCTTTGCAAATATTACACATCACAAATATTTGTATAGTTTGACCTATTCGTGAGGGGGAGAAAAGTACTTAAATTATTTTGTGCGAGCAATTTTGGGATTGATTTTAAATCTACAAATCTGGTCAAAAGCTGCGAGAACATGAGTGAAATAGTAACTTTCTCCAATTTCCGAAGTTTCTTGCAACAGGAAACCTGATGGAGAGGGAGGGGCAGAAAGGGAAACAAAAGGAGGAAAAGGTAGAGAGAAGCTCGTTGCATGAGAATCAAGAAGTGAAACTATCTCGTTGCACCCACCACGCATTTTTTTTCACTTAGGGAGCTATCCAACTTCCACCAAAAATGCGTTTCACCTTAAGTAGCCTAGACCAAGAAGGTAAATTACCTACCACGGAACAAAAATGGGTTTCGAGGGGTTGATGACGACGCTTTGGCAAGTATCGATACTTTCACAGGGTTCCATGGAGTTTTATGTGCTTCCTTTTTTTACTACTCTTTTCTCACAATGTGGCACGAGATGGTTGATTTTTTAAAGGATAGTTTCTCGAATTTGATAATTTTTCAAATATTTTAAATTTTACCAATTTAAAAACTTTCAAGTTAAAAAGTCTTGAAAATGTATCTAAAATCTTCTTTCATTACCGATTCGTTCTCAATTTTTTTAATCGCTCTAAGTTTGGAAATTTATACAAATATAAAGACTTGTTTAACTGACAATAATAAAGAAAGTAATGACAGTAGATAGTAATGTATTTTTAAGCTTAAACAAATTACTTAAATGTCCATTCGCACTACAAGTCTTAAATTTAGTTTTTTTTTGTGTCAGCTAAAATATTTAATTATTTACTAAAACTTATGGCATTACAAGCTTATAAAACAAGTACTCGACATATGAGAAACCCTGTCTTTCAAATGTTGTTCCATTTGGTTTTCATATGACTTTTCTTCCTTCGTTCGTCCGTCCATGTCTTATAAACTTTCAGAGAAAATGGGGGTTTGCACCAAAAAAAGTCCAACTAGTATCTAGACTTAATATACTTTGCCAAAAATGTTACAAGCTAATAATACAAATCTTCAACATATTGACGAAGACTTGTTTCTGTTTGCAATGCAATGCAACCGTGTTTTAATAGTGTTACAAACAAATATTGTATTCCATCCCTGTAAAATAAACAAGGCCGGAGTCATGAGGTGTATAGAATAATAATTGCAAAGCAAGGCGTAAAGTTGTATGTAATTAAACAATTCCACCGGGGAGAGAAAGAGTTGCCTCATTATTTAAGCAGTCGAGAGAGAGATCCTCCCTCATACAAACAGAGAGAGAAAAGCAACTTCAAAAGTTGTCTTTAGCTAATTAATGTGTTTGCGTAAACAATCGCACAAAGGTACAAAAAAAACAGTTACGGGGCCATCAATCAGCTAATGACGAGACGTCGTCGCACTATTTTCAAACAACCAAACTGCACCAACTTTCTCGCATGTCTAAATATGTTTCTGATCCTAATTCGTTTTCAATTTTTCAGGTTCCATCGCCGTGAGTTGGGAGGACTGGTGGACGTATGACGGCATTTCAGGTGAGTCTGGCGCATACAGCCCATCATTAAACCAAATACACCATTATGTAAATGTAGAAGAACATATTTTGTTTGAGAGAATTCCTCCTCCCAGAAAAAAATAAAAAATAAAACGTTTCCTAATTTGTTAGTCTCCGTGATACTGTTTCCTACCCTTTTTGCATGGAAGGGGAAGTTGTTTTAAGTCAAAAGTTTTCGTTGAGTTTGTACAAAGTTTTTTCCGTGTGAAACTCAAATGGAGGGTGACAAAGGAATTTTTTACAAGACTTAATCGAACGAGTATGTATGCAGCAGGAGGAGGATGTATGACTTTGAGAGAATTCAGCCCAAAGTAAAAACTCACAATCAGTTAATTTGCTAAAGAGCTCACTTAATGATATGCAAATATTAGCGCTCCTCATCAACGTACGGGCATGGAGAATGGATCAAAAAGTCAGACAACATAACATTCCAGGACTGCTTTCCATTCCTCGTCGTACACTGTACTGCACTCACCACGTTGTTCAAACAAACAGAGCCACTGATATTTTTTCCATCCTCCTCCTAACGAGTCCACGACGAAGAAGAAAGTCCGTTCTCACGTAGTGCAAAGGCTCGCGCAGTGAAAGGGTCGGTGGGTCTGGAAGTACTTAGGTACTTGCCAGCCAGCCAGGCACCGACTACCCCACCAAAGTTTAAGCCAAGAGTCAGCAGTTTTCGTCGTGACATGAAAATGAGACAAGCTACATTTGCCAAACATAGGAGAACAAAACGTGGACATTTAAGCAAAGAGCGGAGCACATAATCCCGAAACTGTATCAAAACTGTACCCATGACAGAATAGGTAATGTTGCACAAGTCATTCTGAAATGGTGCAGGAGAGTGGGTGGATATTTTTTTCTTGGCAAAATCTAAAATATTCAGGAGACAAAGGGAGCGAATAATATGCTTTGATTTAGTAGCGTTCATGGATAGGAGTGTAAGGCTTCCGTCATATCCACCCAAAAACCAATTTCGGTTCCAATACTCGTCCAACGACAAAATTTGCGGGAGTATTTGCCTCAGTTGATCTCTATTCCCACCAGTAATATTTCCCCATCTCATCTTAACTTTGTCCACACGACGAGCAAGACAATGCATGACACGCTGCCATTGGGGTGGCTGAGTGCAATTGCATCAAGAAAATTTTACCTTCCACTCGGTCTACTGCATTTCACCCTAGTCTTCAAGGGAGCTGTAAGAAATGTTGAAATAACTGGTCATAGGATGTTTAGATTGCCAAAAAATAAAATAAATATTGGATCAATAGATTACTTACTTACGTAGCATTAGTTTAATATAAATTTACGATTTTAACACGATCAAATATTGCAATTACTTTATGAATTAGAATTTTTTGCTCAAAAATCGAGCCATATCATCAAACTTAACTTTCCTTGCGCTTGACCTTGCTCCCCAACTGCTACGAGCGAAGGCAAGTATGCAAAAAAATGTAACAACATTATAACGAATGGCATCTCAAACAATTGAGAATATGTTTTACCAGCTCAAACATCATATTTTGTGCGTACTTTGCACTCTTGCTTCACTTGCACATACATATTTCACTTTTTTACAACTCCACTCCATCCAACGAGGTCCCCAACGGATAGAAATATCCCAAGATATGCATTCTCTGCAAGCGAACTTTCACCCTTTGCATATCATTCACTTGAAAAATTCAGTTTCAGTTAACCAAATCGCTTTATGCATTATTCTGTGTTTCATACACGTTTTTATGACTTCGTCACCTTGAATATTGCAGTTGTCGATGTAGTCTTGTTACCGTCGTGGAGTGAGTGGGTCAATACCCAGCGATGTACATGCATACTCAAAAAAACAACAAAATGGGACTCTCCGAGTTTCAAAAAACGGTGCCATGTAGCACTGTAAGATTCCTTTCGAGTTCAAAGTACTCGTCTGCATTATCTGTAGCACAGGAAACCAGAAAGAACAAATCTTCAAAGGGGACCGGAAGAATTGTTGCATAAAATGATATACTTTTCTCCTCGTGGTGAAAGTAGACGAAATACTTGTGCGAGAAGAAGTGCACTACAGCACGCCATCTCATTTTCAGTTCCTCTGGTGCAACAAATTATTATCTTATAAAGATCTAAATTAAGATATCATGATGAAACAAGGAGGGAAGTAAATATTGCATGTTTTATGTGTCCCAACCACAAAGGAGGGTAAGATTTGCTTTTTTTGTTGTTATTCTGCAGTCTGAAATAGTTAACTTGTACGAAAACAACAAAAAAACGGAGAATTTTGCATGTTCCTGATGCTCAGCAATTTTTAGGCACTAAAGCAAAAGTTGTTGTTGGCTGGTGGAGAGAGGAAATGTTTCCATTGGGGAAATGGTCGAGAGGAGCTCAACATTTTTTTAAATTCAAATCGTGCTGGGAAGCAGAAAGCAAAGCCAGAGTTCCAAAGAGTTAGTTTTTCAATGGGATGAGATCGCGAATCAAATGAGATCTCTTTCGAGAATCCGAGGGGTAGTTGTGCAAGAGTAAACGTGCATTGTCTCGGGTTCCGGTTTGGTTTATTTAAGCATTGTGGAATGCTAAATAGGAGAAAGGGGAGAGCAAGTGGAATAATCAGTCACTTTATATGTATCCAAGGCATCGCCAAGGTATACGTTCCTTATTGGTCTTCTCCACCAAATCTCGGAAGGGTGATCAACATTATTCTCTGAGAATTACAAGTCACAACCAAATCCCGAACCATTTGCCCACTCCGACAACTTTTCAACAATTCAGGAATCCAGTCTCACTTACAACTCGAGCCCACAATGGAATTGTCGTAACTTGGCCGACTTTCTTTGCTAGATCCACTCATAATTATTTTCACAATCATTCCACCTCCGTTCACCTTTCACCACTTAAATGTTTACGGCCACCCACCTACCACCCCAGCACCCGCCTTATGACTTGCCCTACATCCTGAACCACCACCAACCCGAAAGAAGTAGAAGCAGTTCTGCCGGTGATATGACGATGAATACCAATTCGAACTTCTCTTATCTGCTTTTACTTACCACCACCCTGTCGCACATACGCCCTTTTCTCGTCTACATTTGGAAGGGTAGGCTTGTCAGTGCTATCGCATCTTCCTCCTGCAATTAGGCTCTCAATCCAATATGCATAAAAGCGCTGTTGAATCGACAGAACAATTATAGAAATATGTCCCCATCATCCAGCTCAATTCGTGTCTTTTTTCCAGGAGGCAATTGAAGGGGCATGATATGGGGATTTAAGTGGCAGTGGAGTATGCATTTTTGACGAGATTGGAGCTTCTTCTTCTTGTTTGCATTTGCGATCCTCTAAGTATTGCAGTGGTGGTTGGTTTTTGGTGGGGCGTGTGGCGAACATATGTCGGAGAGGTTATAATCCGCCTGCTGCGTGGAGTGGTTTGCTTATCTAGTTTGCATGGCTCCAGGTCTGGGGTGAATTATGCACCAACAGCAAAGGTCTGGCGGATGCTCAACCATTTACCGCAGGCAAGACGACGACATTATCTTCGATCCCACTGTTTCTTTTCCTCTTGAACCACCACCGCGTTGTAACCAACCTCCCAACTCTTGTAAATTAGCGTAGCCCAGAATTCAAACAAGCTTAGCAGCAGGAGACGCAGCGTTCTTCTCTCGGATCCGTTCTGCTTAAACCACTTCTTGGTGGCAGTACAAAATCGGACTGGAATATAAATCGAACCCAGCACAATGAGTTCCAACTTTCAACTCCAAACTTTCTTCTTCCTTGAAATTCTAACTTCTTTCTCTTATCCTTTAGGAATTAAAATAGCAGACGAACCCAAAGCCTAGAGCTATGGCGGAGAGGAACAATTGAACGCACGGCAGGGTTTGGTTATAATTTGTGGGAAATATATTTCAGCGGAAAAGAACCCTTCGTGCCCCAGTAAATAGAGTCGTACCTACCTTCACATGGGTACATTTAGTTATCTGGTAAATACAAAAGTGTGCATTGTATGTAAGGTGGAGTTGAGTTCATGTCATAGTTTTATGCGATCTGTGTTGTAGTTGCTGGAGACTTGAAAAGAGAAAAATCATGGTGTGTTTTATGGTTTTGGTGACAAAGTATAGCAAAAATTTTATTCTCTTTTTATACGTCACAAAAGTAGTGGGGAAATGGCAAAACCAAGAGCAAACGGTAGCAATGTTGTAAATCCAATGTTTCACATTCTCACAAACTATACGCAACTGGTTGGTTGATGTTGTTGCCCAATCCCAAAAATGATGAAATGCTACAAGACGCAGTTGATGGTCCGGATATGGAAACTTGTACGGTGTCATCTCTCCGCACAACAATAACTGAACCTGGACGACCAGGAAGGAAGGAAGGAACGTCACCCACAAGATACAATTGAAGTTGGTAATTCTATAATTCTGCTGGTTGCCCTCTGCAACAATCGGTGTGGGATAAGAGCGGAGAGGAGGACTATGATAATATGATTCATACACCTTGTGGGCTGTTTTCGTCTTCCTTGTCTCAAAAAAATACTTGAGAGCAACGTGCAGGGAGAGAGAGAGAGAGGAATTCTGTCGCAGTCGGTAGTCAGGTCACAGAAGCGTAACCGGAGTACGAGCATGGGGTGGATAGTTCACAGTGAGGTCGCAATTTCCGTGGTCCCCTCTTCGTCAAAGTGAAGAAGCTAACTGGGCTTTCTTCTGCAAATTTAGAGCACTTCTGGGACGCATTTCAGAAAATAGCTCCTTCTCTTCCTGGGCCTGATCCACCACACTTTTAAAACTTATTCAGGCTTCGTTCGAACATCTGATATGTGCATGGAATGAATCCCACCACCACATTCTTCCTCATAGCCTCCCTCCATATCTCACTTCCTCCTACACAAAACGGCGAGGTCTAGACAACCAGCCAGCCAGAAATAAGTAATCTTCCTCTTATGTAAGAATTCCAACAGGAAAAAAATCGTGGGATAAGGACTTTTCAACTTATCATCTTTTTATCACTTAGTTTTACAAACTTCAAGTTGAAGTCTTCAAGTAAGAATTCTCAAATGTACATGCTCGCAAAACTACATAATTTCAACACGAAATAAAATCTCTGAGATTGTAATTGCAAATAATGAATTATAAAAATAAAAGACAGAAAAGTTACTGCTATCATTTCCTTCAATTACGTGTTTCCTCTATGTATATTCATGTTTTGTTGTTTTTCATAGGGCCGGCGTTTTGGGGACTAATCAATCCAGGTAAATATACACGAGACTCACTCATTTTTCCGGATATTTAGAAACTAACATTGTTTATTACTGTTTATTATGATTTTCCCTACAGATTGGGCACTATGCAGCAAAGGACATCGCCAATCCCCGGTGGATCTTCAGCCAAAAGAGTTACTTTTCGACCCCAACCTAAGGACAATTCATATCGATAAAGAAAGGGTAATTTTATTAGAATTATACTCAAAACATTTCCCCACTTGCGGAACAACTTACACCCATATTTCCAAACACTTTCACTATATTTATAACTATAACTATATTTATAAGCATTTGCAATTCAAGAAACTGGTCCATTACCCAGTCAGTCCACACTTTGTTCGGCTGGTGAAACTCGAAAAAACCATGTGAACCTTTTACTTACCTGTGAATGAGAACCGTGGGAATAGGAACTGTATCTGCAAGAAACTTAAAACGGGGAAAGTGGGAGAGAAAGCGAATAGTGCATGTATCCTAAAGGCGATTATGAGAGAGCACGAGTAAAGTAAAAAAGAGTATCATTCGCTCAGAATAAATTTTACATGTTATTTTACACGAATGTTTCACCCACTCATACACACGACGGTGTGGGACATCCCTATGCGACGACACATTAATAGCACCGTTCTTAACGGTGTGCCAACTGCATTGCACGACTATTTCGGCAGAGAAAAGTGTCTTTTTTCAACAGGCAACCGCATTTCATTGAATTGTATCCGTTTCAATTCCCTGTTTTACAATTTGATGACAATTACAATTTTCACATTCCATTTTCTTGCGGGGGCTTCCACTTTGGGAATTCGATTTTTTCTTTTTGGAATGAGCTACATACGTTCAACGTCCAAAAAAAGCTTTCCTGAAGCGAAATGGGAAATCAATCCATTCCGGTAATTGGGCGAGAGCTATGGCAAATACTTACTCGGGGTGACGCCCTTTTACATAAACTTGAACCATTTTTTAACCCAACGAAACGTCCAGGAGGAGTAAGAGTATAAAGAAATTTAAGTTCCGTTAGACCCACAGACAGAGTTAGAATTTGTGAAAAGGGAAACTTGGATAATGGCCACCTTGCATTGGATTGACTAACAGAAAAAGTGGGACCGCGGAGCTATCTCGAGATGTCAAGGCTATCTTAAAACGACTTCTTGAGAGGGGAGCGTTTGGATTCATTGACAGGCTGAGAGTGTTTGACTTTGTAACTTTCTCCGTTGCAATTATCTCGGCTAAATTGTGTTGGACAGACGAGTAGGAGGAGGAAAAAGTTGCATATCCTTGAGTAAGTACGTAATATATGTGCATAAATACGTAAACGTATGTCACGATGGATATATTTACGTACATATACCGCCTTTTTCACTATTTTGTTGAATATAACAGCTTGTATGGGGTTCTTATGCCAAGTAAACATGCATAGCTTTTCACATTATGGCTAAAATCGTATTTAATTAAACCTTCAAAAACCTAGAAATACATATACTTTCTTTCCGTTGATATCTGTATATAAAAAAACCATTTAATCTGTGACGAGGTAATTTGTCATGTTCTTTTTTATCCATTTTCAGGTGAATGGGTTCATGACGAACACAGCACACAGTGTCATATTTTACACGGGACCTTACTACGACGAGGGGTCTGAGCCAGACGGGGGTGGGAGTCGTGGGGAGGATGCTTTTATGTCCGCAAATATGGGCGGAGCAGGGTCGCAGTCCAACTCAAGTCCCCGAGTGCTGGTGAATATCACGGGTGGTCCACTCTCCTATCGATATCAATTCCACGAGATCCACATTCATTATGGGTATGATCTATATTTGTGATTTACAGGTATGACATACAGATCTATGCCACTTTATTATTTATGATTGTAGAGCTGAATTTGACAGAAAAGACTATGCTTAGATAATTATTAGCATATAATTAGTAATAACAGATAAGACAAAACAACAACAAAAATGAATATCTAACAACTTAAATTTTCTCTAACATAACTTCATAACCCTAGAACATTTTAATGAAATTTCGAATTTTTGACCAACTGCCCAACAGAGAAACGGAGGTACACTTGTATATTGGTCATTGAACTCTACTAACCAAACTCTTTTTTTAAGGATGCGTGATGAAATCGGATCTGAACACACAATTCAAGGATACTCGTTTCCGGCCGAGGTGAGGCATTACTTACTGCTCTCTCTCTCTCATAAATAAATTGCCCTCATTCATCAAGAGGGTGGCAGAATCAGAAAACCCACCCTGTCACGCAGCACAATCCGAAACATGTACAACCAACCACAACAATGACGATATTAGATTTATTCGATAATAATGTGTAACGCGGCTAAATTATTATCGATGGAACTTATTTATTTATACGTAATTATGTGTACCTAATACTTAATCTCCTCCGTGACGACTTTCACTAATGACATGACGCTTAGACAAGGGACGAATGATGTTGAAATGTATAATAATTCTCGACCGGTCGGTCATTACCACTTTTTTATCTCAGGACTGTGGACTTGTGTCACCGAATTTGTTTTGGAGAGCAGCAAACTTTCTCTCAGTGCTCATTCATTTTATTCGGACAAGTGGTACGTAGTGGTGAACATGGTCAGATTAGTAATTGGCTTCTCCTCGCAAACATTACAACAAAGCTTCAGACTTTTATCACAAATCCCTCTTCGTCACTTGTCAGAAACTCCTGAGCAAACAGAAACAGCGTGTGAATGTTTGTACTCATTCTGTCCACAAGTATGTGAGACACGCAGTTGGTTGTAATTGATTGCAGAGTTATTTGTCATTTTCGCACATTCGATATAAGTCAAAAGAGGAAGAGGGTTGGGTTGTAATTTAAGGAGTGCACGAGCAAGTACGTAAGTACATGTGGGTAGTAATTATTTATTAACTCTTTTACCTTCCAGCTCCAAATGTATGGATTCAATGCCCAGCTCTACAGCAACTTTAGTGAAGCTGTATCTCGCTCTCAGGGAATTGTTGCCATCTCCGTACTTCTCCAGGTAGGTTGGTCAGCAGCCAGAGCAAATTTCGACAAAGTGTCACCACAACCAACGTGTAGTAACGAGAGAGAGGGCGAAAGTGCTGTAATCTTATTGCAAGCAGTAAAAATATTGGGTAGGGAATAACTTCATTAGTTCGTGGGAGGAGATTTGTTACGGACAGGAAATGAGGCATGTGCGGTACATAAACATGTGGGATAAGTGCATACGGATATTTGTATATACTTTATGCCTACATAAACGTATGCATGAAGGCAGAAGTATTAAACACTTTTCATTAAAGTGCAGTCCGGTTGCTTTTTGATTACCATTTTAAAAGCATTCCACCTTTCACTAACCGATGGATTGCTTGCATAAAAAACCGACAACTTTCTTCAGCTCGTTCAACTAAATATGTACACGTCCGTATGCATGAGTTATTAACCTCAATTCCATTACTGGAATTTCACCACTTCTCTGGCGAAACTTATTGAATTCCGCAATGCTTTCTCTAGTCTGTGAAAGATAAGACTACAAATTAACAATCCATGCGTTATTTGTTAACATGAAGCCACCAACTATGCAAAATTTATAACAGTGTCATTTCTTCATAGCTTGGGGACCTGTCCAATCCTGAATTGCGAATCCTGACTGATCAACTAAACAATATTAAATACAACGGTAAGTTACTTGAGCCAATTATGTAATTGCCAATCTGATTGAAACCTACCCACCTACCAACCCACTACTCGTCTAGCCATACTGAAACATTGATGAGTTCTCCACAATGTCTCTTATTTTAGGACAAAGTGCTTCAGTTCAACGACTATCGCTTCAAGCTTTACTGCCCAACACGGATCACTACATGACTTACGAGGGCTCCACAACAATGCCAGCTTGTCAAGAGACGGTGACTTGGGTGGTGATGAACAAGCCAATTTATATAACCAAACAACAACTCCATGCTCTCAGGAAACTTATGCAAGGCGATGAAGGTGAGAAGGGAAATTATGTAAAATAAAAAATCAAGTAGAGTTGAACAGCGAAAAACATATAATTCATTAATTAAATTCGCTAATTACGTTCAGCTTTCCATTTAAAAATCTCCAGACCATGCTGCATTTGAAACTTACGTAAATTTGTCTAAAAACATTGATGTACGGTCAAACACTTTACTGATTAACGTGGAAAAAATCCCGTAAACTCAGCTTGACTGACATTATTCTTTTCGGTTACCACTAATTATTGCGTTTCACGCCGAACAAAAGTCCATATTTTTGTAGTTCAAAATCAGAAAAAGTTGTAATTCCAACCTGATGGTGAATGTTTATTGGATAAAAATGGCATTCATCCTTTGTACGCAGAGTATCAAAAGGCGCCCTTGGGTAGCAACTTCCGCCCACCACAATCCTTGCACAATCGCGTCGTGAGAACCAACATTGACTTTGCGACGGTAAGTGAAAATCTCCATCAACGGGATTGAAATTCCGAGTTGTGAAAATGCACTGGAGGTGTGATTGTCAATTTCTTTCCAGAATGCTGACTGCCGGGCAAGTATGCGTAAAGAAATGCACTACAAAGGTGACATACAGTTTCCATTAGTACACACTTACGCTTCTCATTCCGCATAGATTCCCATCTAACAAATGCATACGACATCATTGATCATTTTTTCTGTAACTCCATAATTTTAGCAAACAATTGGAAGAACCAGTAATGAACAATCAACACGCCGTGCAAGCGACTATCTCGCTATACGCTTCCCTGCCGTTTGTATGTAATCATTGAAGAATAAGAAGACGTACATATCATTTCAACCAACGCCAATCCAAAATGAGACATAATATGCAAATTCCACTCGCATCCAGCAGCACACCTACTTGAGAAAGTTCTTAAGCCAATCAGCAATGTGATGAAGTGTAATAAACCAACTATTGTGTCAAGCAACTTACTCGTACATACATTAGAATCTATAAATTCAGGATTAGCATGTCGACATACGTGGTAAAATAAAAAGTATAAAAAGAGGAGACGCCGTGGAATTGACGACAAATCCTTGTTCATTCCTCCCATACAAAAAATTAATCCAAAACAAGAAGAAAACGTTCGTAACTTTTGTACTCACAAAGAGTGGTAAGTTAGACGGAGATAAGTCAGCATTACGATTAATGAACAATCTATATTACGTGTGAGATGATTTCTAAAAACATGAAAACCTACCATCACATCCAAAACTAAAACTAAAGTATAACCCTAAAATAAAAGTGCTCCAATTGTAAGTGCAAAACCGACCCATGGAAATTTGCAGAGGCATCTAAAATATTTTTAAATTGCAACAACCCCCAAAGAATAACCCGTACTAATCCTGCAAAAAAATAAGAATCTGTAATCTGTGCTATCATCCTAAATATGTACATGTGGCAATCATGAAGTGAGTAAAAATCCCCCCAAAATGCAGCTAGTCCATTCCATCAGGCATAAAAAGTAAAACTTGCCAAGGCAGAAAGTATGTAATGAAAGAAACATAAAAATGGGAGAGAAGCGATTAATGAAAGAAGGAAGAAATCTGCATCAACGTCACGAGGCAATTGTGTATTGCTAAAAAAATAAGTCTCTTGATAGCTACAAATGTATGAATCAACGGCAAATTAGCGTGTATGAAAGTAAGAATTTGGACTTTGTAAAAAAATGATGTTGTATCATCATGACGTGTACTGTACATTTGTAATGTGTAAATCATGTAAATTCCAGAATGATTAGAATATAATACGATCATATGCATCAAAAAAGAGCATGTGTTCGAACCAAATGAAATAATAATAAAAATCTTTACAACTGAGATCATCTTCTGTTGCACATCTTTCTGTCTGCAAATCCAACCGGGTGGAGAAAGCGATCCCTGCTTGTTTGTTATTAATTGCGTTCTCCTTGTATCCACCGATATCAGAACGCATTCTTATTTGTTTTCTCCCAGGGGGAAGTTTTTTCTCGTCTAGCCTTGTCTTGTCCAATATGTTAACAGATAAGCGTTCGTTTGTACTGGGTGGACGACGACCCAGTCCACCCAGGCCAAGGACTGGATGAGAAATCGGTGAGAGAAAGGTGAAGAAAAAGTGGAGAGATTTTTGCCAAGATGGAGGTTGACTCAACATCTGGAGGATTTCCGTTTTCTCCTGCGGTCGGTGTGGACTAATGTTGATTTATCACTTTGCCTGTCGACTGCTACTTCCTTGATCCTTTGCATCTTTCCTTCTCCTCTTCTGTCTCCATTCTCATGTTCTCTCTTCTCATATTGAGTGAGCCACAAAAAATAAATGCAACTGCCCGAAGGCCAAATGTTAAAATAAGCTCAACATACATACACATACTCGCCTGTCACTTCCTTTGACAAAGATCTCACACTCCCAGGCCAAGGAATCAATCAATATCAAACATCCGACCAAACTTTGCTGCATTAGTGGGGGAAGAAAGTTGATAATTTGCAATGTGTGACATCAGGACACGTGTATTCTTTCAGGGTCTCAATCCAACAAGCAGATCCACGTCTGTATAAAAAATCTCATGGTCTCCGTCCCCCAGTTTCATTTATTTATTTTCAGGAACCAGTTTACAAACTTGGAATACGGACACTATTCAATCGCACTGTAACAAAGGCTGTATACCAATCTGTTGATGCGTTAAAGATAAATAATAACCAAAGAGTGTGTCACATACAAAATTCTCACATGGTGTTTCGAGACCAGACTCGTGTAATGTAGAACCCGCTGCTTTATTGAGGTTAGATGAACCGTAGCATTCAATTTCTTCCATCCTAAAGCACTACCGCACAAGTGGCTCTTGAATAGATTGCATGACCATCTCGGGAAAAAATGTCATCATGATCTTCCGTTTATAAACTTGTATTCAAACGTGAAAGTAGCGGAGTGAATGGGACGACTTGAATGGTGTGGACCATTTGATAATCATCATCGATTCATCGACATCGATGAATGGAAATGGAGCTTTTAGACGACCAAATGTGGAGAAACTATTCGAGCAGATGCGTGACCGACCATACGGAAAGTTGCCCTTTAAACTTTCTCCACGTTTATTATGCGCATTACATTTACGGTGAAATTATATAATAAGAAGTGCCATTTGTGGAGGAATGTTATGTAAATTTTGTAATGTTATTACCGTAGCCAATTGCTAGATTCATTTCTCCTCGGTGTGACTAGCATCTCATTTATTTCTCCACCTGACACCTTCATATTAGATAATCAACAGTAAATTTAGGTCCAGTCAGTCGTCGTCTGGGCCAGCCAGCCGACTCAAACTGCCAGCCAAGCAGAATGGAAGAGCAAATGTTGTCTTGTCTTGTGTGGCTCAAGAGACTGCTAATCCCTGAATAATGCAAACTTAAATGGTGACATCTTCCCAAAGGAAGATGTTTGACTTACAAATTCCTAATTATACAAGTCTGATCTGACTCCGGGGGGATCCAACTTTCTCGAAATTTTGGAGATTTGTCTTTAGACAAGGGGATAGAGCTTACGTATGACTGCTTCCCAATTTGGATGCATTTTACTCAATTTTAACCTTAGTTGGTTATGTTGTAATTTAAGAATGCAACAATTAGTTGTACAATAGAACACTTTCTAAAGGTTCCAGACCAATACTTACCCCTGGATGCTAGTAGGATTTCCAACCCAATTTTCTCAGGTTGGGTCAATGGCAATTTTTTTAGAAAATACAACTTGGACCAAATTTAATCAAGTTTAAAAAATAAGCTGAAGATGAGGAAAATCGAGAATTAAAAATTTTGTTGGAATAATTTACATTTCTATTTTTCATTGGAATACAACAAAGCACTTTGAAATAACTCATGGGTTGAAGAAATCATACTTTTAGAGTCTGACGCTACTTCTTTATGTTCGTTTGCAACGGTTTATTCATCAAGTAGTATCATAATTATCGGAAAACCTGCGACACTAAAAATGAACTAACGAATAAGCTTGTATGCATATATGTACGTTATGGGCATCTTGTTCCATGGTTATGGGATGACCAATCGTCTCATCTGACCTCAGTTGCAAAGGGAAAAGCGAGATCGGACGTGGCACATTGATCCATATTTGCATTATATCGTACGACTTGTAAACTCATTCCCTTCATGATTTTTACTCGTAAAAACAAAAAAATATCTACAAACGAACTGAACAAAAAAGCTTGACAAATAAATTTATTCTCATGTGCAAACATTACGCTCTATTCTTAATTTGGATCATATGTATCAAATTTCGGACGATTGAGAGACCATGATGAAAAATAAATGTGGGTTGATTAAATTCTAAGAGAACAATGCAACCATAGTTTTGCTTGCTTCGTGGGCGAGTGATATTGACTTAAAATTTTCAGACAGTAAAAACTGTCTGACATAATTTCAAATTTTTATTTATTCTGATTTATGACATGGATTAACCATGTACAACTATGCTACAATTTGTATAATCTCAATCAACGGATCAAGTGCAAGTTCAGAGCTCTCGGGTGCTTGAAGAATGCCAAACTTTACAAATTACATAAGTAAATAAGGAAAATAGCTGCATGTCATACATATTTATAATCACTCATAATTTGAATCCGTCCCATTATCCGCGTTGTTAGGATCTTGCGTATCTTTTGTAATGCTGCTACAATTTTCAATCAATCAATACCCGTCAGTCAGTTGATTTTATTATTGTAGGTTCTATTTATTTACACTAATCCATACGGACTCATTTGGCTGGGATAAAAAATATAATCAGCAGAGTCATGCGATATGGTATGGTGATGGTCAACTTATCTCGAAGCTTTTTCGCTTAATCCATCTGAAAAGTGCAAATGTTTACACTAATCTCATCTCCGACTTTTAAACACTAGAGACCAGGACCATTAGTGCAGAAGGAAACAAGCCCGATTTCCTAATTATATGGGCATGTGACCAGCATTTGTGCGTAATTAGTTAAATATTTTACATAGTAATAGTTTATTTGCAAAATTTTTGCAACAAATAATACACAATGGATACAAAAGTTGCGGAAAATGAGAATAACAACAGGTATTTGGTGTATTTGCTTGATTAAACATGAAAATTGAGCCAGAATCAAAACATAAATATGTATTTTAGGAATCCACTCATAGGTTTGAATGGGATGGCTTTGGAAACAAGTGCAGAAAAGAGGACTCGTCGGTACTCTTTGTGGATCATGTACTTGACCACATTTCTTCAAGCGATGGCAGGGTCAATCGTGATTACAGGGATGTGGCCCTACTTACAAAAGGTGGATTAAATTTTGAAATGTAATCGTAACATGAAAGTCTGCACGTTTAGCGTTATGAAATGCAACTACAAGATTGTTTGTTTTAAAATACATATTCTCTAAACGGTACCTGAATTTGCAAAAAAAAACATTGAGAGGTCTTTGATAAGCAGAATACATGCATCATGCATGTGTATGAATATGTACATAAAGTTTTATGCATGCGTGTAAAAGGGCACATGCCGAAATAAACCTGCCCTACATATCCGTAGTAGTGGAAAAGGATTCAATTTTGTCCATGTTAATAATTGTCATTGGGTGGCAGGGAATTGGAGAAAGGTAATTTGAGGAAATGACCCCATGTTGTCTCTTGCAGTTGGACTCGACCACGAGTAAAGAGTGGTTCGGATGGGTGGTAGCAGCAAACCCACTTGGCCAATTGATTTCCTCTCCACTAATTGGATGGGTCTGCAATAGACTTGGGGCCACAAGGGGACCTTCGATATTTTGCCTAGTCGTCTTTATTTGCGCCAACTGCTGGTACGCAGTCCTACCCTTGCACCAGGATGGCTCAAAGTGGTTCATTCTCGTCGCCCGATTCCTGGTGGGGGTTAGCTCAGGTGGGTTTCAGCAGTAAAACACTTTCCTCCAGCTCTCTCTCTCCTCCACGCAACATTATTTCGGAGGACAAAGCTACTTTCAAATTTATCTGAATAGTCAATAATTGTGAGAGGAGGTTGTAGATTACCTAGTACGAAAGCGGGGAGGAGGGTACTTTGGGTAATTGTTGCCTGGTGGGAGCTAGAGAGAGAGAGAGAGTCAGTAATTTGAAGTTTGGATAATTGTCACCATTTGCCCTCACTTACTTAAGATGAAGATGTTGTTGTCGTTGCTGTTCAGCCTGGTGACGCTATATATTATTTCAGGCAGCATTACGGCCTGCAGGACGTTTGTGACTCAGGGGACACTCGTGGCAGAACGAACTGCTTCTATTTCTCATCTGTCGCTGTCCCAAGCGTTGGGTAAGCGTTTCCTCTGACGTTAAGTCTTCTTTGGTTGCTTTGATGATATATTTACTCCCAAAATGCAAACACGTAGTTATATTTTTTAATTCATTGCTAAATTTAACTCAGAGAATCAATGGTACTAAATACGAAAAATTAATACATATTTACTTGTTGGGAATCAATCAAAAATTTACATGCGGAGAGTGATACATGTAAAATGGATGAATAAGATCTTCCCCTTCACGACTCATGATACTCGAAGACTGAGTGGTTTCCTTGTTCTTGCCATGTTTGCATTTATGAACTTGATGGAATTTTAACAAAAAATATTGCATGCATTTTTTTTACTTTTTAGGATTTGTTCTAGGACCGGGTAAAATACCGCATTCTTATATTTACTCGTTCCGCTTGGCTGTGGTGACTGATCCAACAATATGTTCTCTCCACCAATCTGTCCACTAAATCTCTCCTCTGCTGCCCCTGTATCTCCAACCAACTCACTCAATCTATAAATTTAATCTTTGGCTTTCTCCTGCTTTGTCGCCCGTCCGCTCCCTCCAACTCAAAATCACTTTCAACCACACTCCGGATTCATTTCATGGAGTCGAACATCCTTCTCCGACGACATTTGCTCCCCCACTTATCTTAGCACATCTTCCTTCGCGTCCCCCTCTCAAAAAATTAATTTCGATTCGAAAACTGCCAGGGCTTAGGGCACATGTGGTTGCTCGACTCAAATTAAAATAAAATTTTGATCGAAACAAACCTTGACGGGAATCTTCTTAAGCTTGGCAGGCTGTTGTTGAGTGAAATGGTATGATTACTAGTAAAAAAAAACGTGATTTTGACAATGGTGAGAGATCGGTGAGAGTGGCTGCGGTTTTCCTCCCTTTGTCGCAATCTCAACCCTACCCCGTGTTCCGCATCCGGATCTCATCTCACAAACTGAGATTGAGAACTTTCCCCTCGTACCAGTCAGAATCCCGGAGGACTCGACTACTCCACTTGACAAATCTTTGCTTTAATTGTCGTTACTTTATGTTTTCTTCTCCCATTTCCTTTTTCCTTTCTCTCTCTCTGATGGCTGCATGGGCTATGACAAAGTGCGTAAAAGTTAGAGTAATGGATTCCCCGTACTTATACGACTCCCGTCCCGCTGCATGTTTATTACGTAGCTGGTCAACTGGCTCTGAAACCACTGGGGGAGGAGGGCTTCTTCATTGGGGGACTGCCCGTGAACATGTACACTGGTGTGGGCTGGGTAATTAATTTTTTAATCACATCTACAGCCCAGACGACGACTATCCATACGATCTGGACCATTCAATGCAATCTTTATATCGGTATTGTAGATGACGACCACCTTGGGACTAGTAAACTTGATATTTTTCCATCCGAAATTTTTTCATGAAAGCGACATTGCTATTAGAGAGGCTCAAGGGAAGGCCAAAATTTCAGAACGAGATGGCAAAACTTCCGTAACTTACAACAGTTAAGCTCGCTCTTAAATCAAAACTTGTTATACGGCCGTGTATCTACACTCGTGGTAGTAGTCGGCTTATCTGCAATGATGACTACTCGCAATGAATTTTTTATTCTTGTACAAGTGGCCAATTCGAACGTGGCCACGCACAAGCCAGACTACTTGGGAATCATGGTCATTGTTTTTACCTTTTTTATCGTCTTCTTCGAGTTTGTCCTGCTCGAAACGTAAGATAAAAAATGTTCTACAGCAGCTTATTGTAGTGACATGTGTAAATGATTTACTATTTTTTTGCACTCATCAAGGTTGGGGACGCCAGTCTCTATGGGTAAGAGTTATCAATAAAGTACCACCCAAGATATCCACTAATTCTAATAACTAAATATCCACTTTTTCTGAATATCCACAGACCAATTCGGATGGAGTGCTGAACGAACGATCGTCATCGTTGGAACTGCCATGATTATCTCCTCCATTGTTTCCACCTCTCTATTCTTTCTTATTCCCATTGGTGCCAAATATTTTGATGAACGGGTTCTCCTCATCGGCTTTGGGGTCGTTCCTTACACGCTGGGTAGAATATTTTTCTTCCCATACTCAAGCGAGGTACATGTACAAGATATGTATACGCATTAGTAGAAAAATTGAATCACTTAAGGGCCATAATACGATGTTTTTATGGCGATCCATTTTAAAATTGATGACTTTTAGGTGGCCCCAATGAGACGATTGGGATGTCTTCACTCGAACGGGACAGAACTTGTGGGGCTCAACGAGGAACAATGTAATGCGAATGATGACGTTCACTGGAAAGTTGTCCAACATGGGTGCCCAGAAGCCCAGACTTGGTGTTTCGAACTGCCAGCCCTCACCCCCGTCACGGTGGCGATAGGATACGCCATTTGCACTCTGGGATTCCCATGCTGCATGGTGCTGTGTCAGACCATATTTTCCAAAATGTTGGGACCACGGCCACAGGTTTCACTTGTTTTCAAGTAAAATGGCCTAAATATAAGTTATGGCAAAAAAACTGATGGTTTGTTTCAGGGCGTATGGATGGGGGCCTTGACATCGATCAGCTCCCTGGCCAGAGTGGTAGGACCAATTTTTGTGACCTACATTTACACTGAATATGGAACCATTGCAACTTCCGGAACAGCCGTAGGTCTCATGGTTTTGGTGTTGGTGATACTGCTTTTAATATATAAAAGGCTGGTGCCCCTAGGAAAACGAAAGTCCTAGAGTTTAAAAAGATTTTCAAATTTTTATGAAATTGAGTAAATAAAAATAGCGTACAATTTCATAATACAAGAAATCGATGTATTATTTTATTTAACAACAATGATTGATTGGATTTGGTATATAGTGAACATAATTTATTTATATAGTATATTTCATTTTAGAAGTGTTCTGCCACTTCTTTTACCTGACAACAATATTTAAGTATACACTGAATGATAATGGAATAGCAATGGATAAATTTGTAACAACTATTTATTCAACATGACATTTTTCATAGAGAGAGTGAGAGGATTTTAAATTGTAGATAATGGTTGTTTGTTGTGGACTCGATTCCATCAACAGATCTCAAATGAATTATTACTTGTCGATTTTCACAGCAGAACATACAAGGTGCAATTAATAATGATGCAGACGAAAAGTTAATTGAAACAGAAATGTTTTAATATACATGTTTAATAGTGTAATATTTGCAATTTTACTAGTTTGTCGGTGTAAATTGCATCCTGCCAGTAACGTCACTATTGTACGTATAAGTAGTATTGTATAAATAAGCTAGGCTCAATTTACATAAATATGGGCCTGAGCATAAATAAAGCTGTCCTGCACTTTGAAATTCTTAGTGACGGTCATTAGAGTGGAGTTGACGTCATATTCTCCACGCCACTACACCATTTCTATAAAAACTAACTTATAAAAACCCACCGGAATTCTATCCATCTAAAAAAATCTATTTACGTAAAACTGCATGTGAAAAGTCTTAATAAAGATGATACTGACCAGTTTAAAATTTGTAGGAAGCCAGTTGAGATTAATAAGTATTCAGAAATTAAGTAAAATAGGAAAGTCAGGAGGCCATGAATCGCTCATCTTGTAATAATTTCGACATATACTTGATTTGAAACTAGCACTACAATTCAGTAAAAACTAGACGATGAGTAAGTTCTGTCTTGTATAATAGTTTCTAAATCTGGGATTTTTTAAAAGGTTTTTATCGTCGTCATACGTCTGCTATTTTTGATTTCATTGTTACAGCCATTTATGAAAAATTTGAAGAATTAGGCATGCAAAACCTCGTTGTGCAATTATTGGTAAAAATTTAGTCGAAAAAGTTAATATTGTTGACGCCGACGGGCTCTTTGCTTGTCGAATCGTAGCTCCATTTCTTCCAACACTTTTGGGGTGTACCGAACAACTAGTTTAACTGAGCCTTGTGCTGCTTTCAATAGCTCCACAGCTTTCTCATGATTTTCACCGTCTACGGACTGAATATAAAAATACAATGTAAGTTTTTAATATCAGCCTAGAAAATTAAATCCTCTTTTTTCTAATTAATTTCTCTCACCACTCCGTTAACGGAGAGGAGTTGATCTCCTCGTTTAAGACCTCCATGTCGATCGGCTACACCTCCAGGAATGATCCTGGAAATGTAAATTGGTGAATTTTGCTCCTTGCCACCCATAACGTTAAATCCCAGCCCTTCTTCTGTTTTTGGAAGCTCTACAACTCTTGGATGTGCCTAGAAAGTAAGACAAGCATCATTTAGAAATGCATGGCATAATGTTTTTCAGATATTTATTACTAAATACTGAAGATAATAAATAAATAGAGAACTATTAATTAAATAATATGGATTTATTACGTGTCCTTCAGAAGCAGCAAAGGCGGCGACCGTGGCCTTTGCCGTTGCAGAGGCTCTAATGTCTGGAGACCCTTGGATGTCGACAGTCTCGTAGACATGCTCGTATACTTCTCGCACGGCATTGAAAAAATCGCTCTGTAACACTCTGCAATTGTCAAAAATTAAATATTTAGAATTAAAAGTTTAACCAGCTACGCTTCTTGAATCCCATGAATGTAATCGCTCAATTACGCTTTCACCAGTACATGTACATACAAGCGTATGTGTGTGCATAATAATGACCATTTAGTCAACAAACTCTCTCCGCACTCAACATCTCTCGTATCTTTCAACTACAAAGTTTCCTAGTTAAATTAACATTAAATTACTCGTTACCCATCAACAATAACGACAATGAAAAGACACCCGATTCAAGAAATCAGAACTTTGAGAACAATTAAAGTTGTCCCGTAAAAAAGATTAGGAGAAAGCTACATAGATCGTGACACAAACTATGCATCATAATTATCTGTTCAGAATCAGATCCAGCTTCCGGTGAAAGTTAAATTCAGAATTAGTCATTTGGTACTGGAAGGAGTTATCATTTTCAGCAAAAAATACTTGGAGAGATGGAAGGATTCGAATATTTGAGTTTCCGATTCAATCTTAAGGAGAGATTAATTTATGATTTTTTTCTACTTTACAACTTTCTTACTTTTGTAACGCTGCCAATTTCGTGGCTGGAACTTCACCACTTTTTTGAAGAATTTCAAGTAACTCGATAGCTCGTTTTACGTCTGTAAAGCATTAAACACAAATTAGATTCAATTAGACGTTTTAAATATATACATGTATAACGAAATTATGAGTTGGAGTAGCTGAAGAATTTTGAATATTATAAATTTTTAATAATTTCCACGTCACATCTTTTAAACAGTTCTGTTATATCATATCTACTCGAAACTGTTATTAATTATATTTATTTTATTTTCGTTGCTCACTTAAAACTAGTTAAAACCACAAATCGACTTTGCAACTACACAAAACTCAAAAAGTAGTACCCCTCTAACGCCGGAAATGAGACTCCTACACAAAATTTCTTTACTTAACTACTCACAAAGTCTTCGTGTCAAATTGAATCCTCCTCATAATCTCACAATTACTAAAAGTACATAACATTCCCAATATAACATCATCTTCTTACCTTTGGCCAATGATAGTTGTTCCATTGTACTTAAGTTGACTAAATTTAGCAGGCAGTAGTATCTATAATAGCTGTGTTAAAACAAAGCAAACTTTCTCTTCCGTAAAGAAGAAATAACGACGTATTTTCCCCCTCTGCGTAGTTAAATAGCCACTTATTTCCAAAAACTTTCTCCACCTCCGATTATCCTAGTTTGACAATTTAAGCCTGAATCGGGGACACGTTGGCAAACTCCATTGAGAAAACAATTAAGTATGTGCCGCAGTGTCAGTGTGATATTATTCGTGAAATCCACCCTGCTTTACCACTTACTTTGTGTAATAGAAAGAAGAAACCTGCCTGTGTAACTCGTCTTTTGCTTACACGGACGAGTGTTTGCTTATAAAAGGAGGCCCAAGCACGAATCACTATGCTTCACCAATGGTCATACATATATCGTGCTTTTGTGGATATAAAGGAAAAAGGGTGTTTCATCCATCCGTTCGTCTAATAAAGCCTCCGCATTCCTCTCATTCAGCACAACACGGCTGGTTTTTGGTGCAGGAAGGAAGTAGAGGTTTTTAACTTCTTCTCCACAACATTTTGCATGCAATTTGGTCCCATTTTCATTCACGTTTCCATTCTGCTGACAACTGCCTCAAAAACTACGTGATGTGTCCACATGGATCAAATTCCATACTTGTGATGAGACTGATGATCATGCATGAAAGGGACGGCTTCATATGAGTTGGTTGTGTTAAATGGGTAAAAAATGCGAGAAATCGGTAAAAATTGGATGAAAATCTAGCTGGAAAATGTATGCAAATTGTTTGTGAATAATCTGTGTCCTCACTTTTTGTCTGCATTCATATTTCTCGTAAATTAGCCGTGGAGAAAGTGGGTCACACCCAAATCTCATCTCGCTTAATGACTTTCACTGGAGGAAACCAAGATTTTGAGAAAGTTGGACACGTGTCGTGTTCACCGGGCAGCTCTGGGTTTTGCACTTTTTTGCATTGCTGACTGACTACTACACGTATAGGACTCTCTGCTTGGTTGTTTAATTTTATCTTGTTAATTAATTGTTAATTTAAGTAGTTAATTGGAGTGACCTTCTAGTCATGGCGACATCTCGAACCGTGGCCTTAATCAGGGTCCAGGGCCTCGTGATAAGTTCTACAATAAACGTTTTGAAGCGAACTTTCCCTCTCGTGGCGATAAGTTACGATCATTATGAAAAGCGGGACTTGCACCTTCAAAGTTATAACCACACACAAGATAAAGGTGTTGGAGGTCTCGTGTCATCATATGTACGTGATTGGCAACAGCGATCCGCGATTCATTCCTCGGGCGGATTACGACAAAAGGGAAAAAACTACTATGAGGTGCTGGGGGTGGGGAAAAAGGCCACAGTAAAAGAAATTAAACAAGCCTATTATCTCTTGGCGAAAAAATACCATCCCGACACTAGCAAGGGGGACACTGAAAAGAAAATGTTCTTGGATGTATCAGAAGCGTACGAGGTGAGGAATAAGATGCACGAAACTGTGAGACGATGGGTTGTTTGTTAATAATGGAATATTGAATTAACTTCTAATTCTGAATAATAGGTACTGAGTGACGATAATAGACGAAAAGAATACGATGAATGGGGCCAAACTTCGCAAGATATTCGGCGAAATGAGTACTATGCGAAGGGAAATGCTGAGGGGGATCCAAATTTTGGGAAAAAGACGTGGCATTATAATACCAATGTTGATCCTGAAGAACTATTTCGTCGTATATTTGGCGAGGCAATGGACGAACATAATCCATTCGATCAGCCTCTAGAGTTTGCTAGGTCGTTCTATGGATATGGTGCTGCTGAGGAGGTAAACATAATTAGAATTAGTGTAATTTCTGAAATTGTGGATAAAATTGAGTTGTACTAAATTAATTTTGTCTTATGTGCAGATTGTTATGGGCCTTCAATTTGAGGAAGCTGCGTTGGGAGGTCACAAAGAGGCAATTTTCAATGTCGTCGAACGTTGTCCAAAATGTGCTGGGACTCGGTGCGAACTTGGGACAAAACCTGTAACTTGTGCTACGTGTGATGGAACTGGGATGGAAACAATTTCCAAGGGGCCTTTCATAATGAGGAACACTTGTAGCGAATGCAACGGTGCAAAAGAGGTTATGCATCACCCTTGCGGCGAATGTGAAGGCGAAGGAAAGATGGTGCTAAGAAAAAAATTTCCAGTTCCGATTCCTGCAGGTATTTCCTCAGTGTCCTTTTAATTTAAAGGCAATGAAACAGTTCTGCGATTCTGTAATTAATTTGTTAATAAATCTTTTGTGTAGGTGTCAACGATGGCGATGCTATTCGAGTGGATGTGGGACTGAAAGAAATCACTGTCAACTTTCGAGTCGCAAAGTCTGATTACTTTCGGAAAGATACGGTTGATATCCATACGGACGCCATTATCTCAATTAGTCAAGCAATTTTAGGTGGCGAAACAACTATTAAGGGTCTTTATGAAAATATAATAATCGAGGTAACATGAAGTAACATGTAACATCAAGTTATTTATTTTACGAATTACTTAATGATTATCTTTCGTGGATTGTGAGTATATTTAATAAAAATGGTTAACGCAGATAGCACCGGGAACTTCGTCACACACGGTTCTCAAGCTGAATGGAAGAGGAATAAAACTTCCAGGTGGATCTGGATATGGAGACCATTATGTCCATTTTCGTGTGCATGTTCCGACAGGATTATCAAAAACTGAAAAGGACGTACTAGTCGCATTTGCTGCCAGCTTGGACGAAGAGTTTGTGGGGACAGTGGCAGGAGTAACTGCAAGTAGGTGAAAGTTTGCTTTCTTCTCCTTCATAGTCCGTTGAGTAGTATTGACCCAAATAGTCGCTTAAAAATAATTCAATTCGTAATTAACTCCTTTTATACCCCTCGTAACAACACCTTTAGTTTTCATATGACCAAGTCTGAAAGGAATGATTATATTTATTGAAGGTGATGGTACTTCAACGCACACTTCAGATAAAAAAAGCAGTCCCATTGTGTCCCCACCCAAGGATAGTCAGAAGAGCAATGGATTTTTAGGGAAAATAAAAAAAGTGTTATTTAATAGATGATGAAATGCTGTCTTACAAGTTATCTTTTTATAGCTAATTTCAAATTTAGATCATACATATGTGACCACTTTACTCATGTGTTACTAGTCGTTATTTGTTGAAATAGTACTAGTTTAAATATTAATTGTTCTTCTGTAATCTAAATCACTCGTGTCTTGGGGTTTATTCTTTCAGAGGAAATTGCCATATGGCGGAAAGAAAGAAAAATCAAGGAGATTCACGATAAAGCCATTGCTCTTCATGACGAACCCCTCAAACTGTCAGCGACCTGGAAAAAAATCGCAACCACAAAGAATATTCATATCGAGTGGGACTGCACTGCGAAAAAGAAGCGTCCAAAAAAGCCAAAGAATTGATGTAATTATTATTCATTATCTAAATAAAAATATGACTAATAAAATGTTATAACTGGACTTAAATTTTCCGGAAAAATCATTTGAATATTCATAATTTTACATCCTGCCTGCATTATTTATCATGAAAGCTTTAACACATGTGAAGTGCAGTAAAAAGAGTAAAAATCATGAGAAATGTCCAACCCAAGCTCATCTGCGGTTAAACAGAGATCTAAAACCTGGCCGAATTCACGCCTCAACTCGGAACCGGAACAGCTTGAAGTTTGTGTGAGCTAAAAGATCATGTATCTGTTCGGACGAGTCGGTTTGTTTGTTGACAATGTCAACTCATTTTTTTACGACTGGATGTCATCATCCCAATAATTAAGGAGCCACCCCAATTAGCCGGATACTCGATACACATCCAACTCGCTCGGCAGAGACTTCTCCCCCGAAGCCGACGACGGATTCCACCACTCGCCCATTACAGTTGACTTCTTTTACTGGACTGACTGACTGCAGTGGTGAGTTAACAATCTCAGCAATGTTAAATCCATTTGTTTATTAATTGCTCGTTGAGTCATCGTAGCTGCACATCATGAGTAGTTAGTAAATGTTCTTGTGGCGAGCGTTAATAGATTATTTGTTTGTGGGTCATATTTGTAAAGTTAAACCTAAAGCAAGCTAGGATTTCGTTCTCAGTCTGTAGCTATTCTTAATCTGCGACATGGTCAATATTTAAGGGAACTATAGTTTGAAAGTAGAGTATCTTTATCTGTGACCGGATATATAATTATTATATTAATCATGGATGATCAAACGGATTTTAATAGTGAGGAAATTTCTACGCCGACGCCAGAAGTAGGTGACGACATCGAACCTGAAGAAGAAACAACAACGCTTCCACCACCACCGTCACCACCACCGCCGCTGTCACCAGGAATAGACAAGATGAGTATCGAAAAAGTGTCCCTTCCGGACGCTTTGTCAAACGTTGACGTTCTGGATGAACTCCCTTTGCCGGATCATCAACCATGCATAGAGGCGCAACCCTGCTCAATCGTTTACCAGGCAAATTTTGATACCAATTTTGAAGATAGAAATGGCTTTGTGACGGGAATTGCAAAGTATATTGAAGAAGCAACGGTTCATGCTGCATTGGTAATATTTATGTTTATTAAAGTGCATTTGGATTTTAGAATGAATAGTAAAATTACAATTATAATTATAATTTTATAACTGTGTTTATGTATTTGATTGTGTTTAGAACGATTTGTTGGAGGAAGGGACAGAGCATGCAGTCATGTTGTACACTTGGAGATGCTGTTCTAGAGCGATTCCCCAACCAAAATCTAATGAACAGCCGAATCGTGTCGAAATTTATGAAAAGACTGTCGAGGTGTTGGCACCTGAAGTGAATAAACTGCTAAATTTTATGCGGTTTCAACGAACAGCTATTGATCGATTTTGTACCGAAGTGAAAAGATTATGCCACACTGAAAAAAGGAAGGATTTCGTTTCAGAAGCGTATCTTCTAACGTTAGGAAAGTTTATCAACATGTTCGCCATTTTGGATGAGTTGAAAAATATGAAGTCCAGCGTTAAGAATGATTATTCTACTTATCGACGGTATATAAATACATTTAATAATAATTTTATTAAAATCAACCGTTGGAATAATCAACACTAATTTATTAATAATAAATATTAATCCACAGAGCGGCACAATTCCTAAAAGTCATGTCGGACTCTCAAGGTGAGTAAAGCAAAATTATAAGATTGAGGAACTTCGGGCAGACTTAAAAAATATATATTTTGATGTCTCAAGCTCTTCAAGAATCCCAAAATCTGTCAATGTTCCTCGCCACACAGAACAAAATCCGAGATAACTTGAAGGAAACACTGGAGAAAATTACAAACTACGAAGACCTTCTTGCTGATGTGGTCAACATTTGCGTTACAATGTTTGAGTCAAGAATGTATTTAACTCCAAGTGAAAAGCACATGCTGGTGAAAGTGATTGGGTTTGCACTCTACCTCATCGACACTCAACAATGCAACATTTACAAATTAGATCAGAAGAAGAAAATTAGACTGGACAAAATTGATAGAATTTTCAAGGTTTCCAAAGTTTTATTTAAATTTTTGGCAGCAGTGATTAATAGTTATAATTACATGACTGATGTTTCATTAATTTAGAACTTAGAAGTTGTACCACTTTTTGGAGACATGCAAATTGCACCATTCAACTATGTCAAACGAAGCAAACAGTTTGATGCCAGTAAATGGCCACTGTGTACTGCACAAGGAACATTAAGCGTCCAGGCTGACCTGAACAGATATTTGCCTCAAATTCGAGATGACCATATAAAATATATTAGTGAACTTGCAAGATATAGCAACGAAGTATGCCATACCACTTACTTATTTATCGTCTCAATACGGATGACATGATATAATGTTGGCTTATTAGGTTACCACTACATTTAAAGAAACTCCTCGAACGGATGCTGAAAATGACGAAATCGCAGAGCTGGCTATTCGTGGCTTGCAACTGCTTTCAGAATGGACAACCGTTGTGTCCGAGTTGTATTCTTGGAAATTGTTACATCCTACTGATCAACACCAGAATAAGGAGTGTCCGGTTGATGCTGAGGAGTATGAAAGGGCCACCAGATACAACTATACCGAAGAGGAGAAATTTGCCCTTATAGAAATAATTGCAATGATTAAGGGTTTGCAAGTTTTAATGTCAAGAATGGAGACCGTCTTCTCTGAAGCAATAAGGCGGAGTATCTACTCAAAGCTGCAGAACTTTGTCCAAAGTATACTCAGAGAACCATTACGTAAAGCTGTGAAGAATAAGAAGGATTTAATTCGAAGGTGAGCTTATTTTATGTTTGCTTTTTCGATTAGAAATTATTGCCCAACTTAAAATATGTTTTGAATCGTTGTTCTTTCTTATAGTATTCTGGTATCCGTTCGTGAATCATGTGCCGACTGGATTCGAAGTTATAAACCTGAAGAAGACCCTGCAATGAAGGTTGAATTATGTTCAATCAGTTACCTTTTTGGATGATGTTTTTTTACAGTTTATAAATTTGTATTTTGCAGGGAAAGAAAGACCCAGAAAACGGCTATGACATTAAGATAGCTAAGCGATGCGTTGGTAAATTCTTGTTGCATATAGTTCAAACAAATATTGAAGACAAATAGTCAAGTCAACAAGTTTCACAAATCAATCTTGCTATTATAGGTCCATCTTCGACACAACTATACATGGTCCGAACTATGCTGGAGTCTTTAATAGCAGACAAATCTAGCGCAAAACGAACATTAAGGAAAGATATTGATGGCCAATACTTGCTGGCGATTGAAAACTTCCACAAAACTAGTTTCTATTGGAATTACTTGATAAACTTTAGTGGTAAAAACTTTATTCTCATAATTTCATAACATATGAAATGAACAATGGTTTAAGTTTGCACTATATGTTTCTCCCCAGAATACCTTCAACAATGCTGCGACCTTTCACAATTGTGGTACAGGGAATTCTATTTAGAAATGACGATGGGAAAACGAATACAGGTACGCGTACAAAATTAGTTACGAATTATGAAATAGCTTGGTTCCCATCAGAGCAGATTAGAATGTTGTACAGTCCTTGATGATTGCTAATTTCAACTCATAATGATCTGTGATTTATTTATGTAATTGTGGGACGGTTAATCAGCGAATTACGATGTGAATCATTTCAACAATATTTTATATAAGCCCTGATAATTTGAATGAGAGTATTTTTAGCTACACTTGTTAGCTTACGTAGGGAATTTATTATTAACCTGGCATGTAATACTCTTAATTTGTGATGGCCGAATGTGATTTATTTTCGAAAAGAAATGCAAGGTGCAGCATCAGCATAACGAGGAGTGTGTCTCTGACCTAATAACAATGGAGAAGAGGATTCAGGTATTTATTGGAATCAAAACTCAGACATAGTAACTTTAGAATGCGTCTAACAATGTATGCATGTCCTACCGTTGCACAATAGATAGTAATAATTATAATAATAATTATAATACGTAATACGAGTGTAGGTTATGAAATAACTATATTCTTCAGGACTTACATACATAATCCGCATGACTAACATTGTAGTCTATACTGACTGGTCTGTCACTATGTACTGACTTATATTGATTGACCCCTATTTATTCATGTGCACTTTGTTTTTCTTTGTGTTGTCAGTGTAATTGTTACTGATTTTTTGTTTGTTAATAAGCATGATTTTTGCTGGCAAGAAAATTACTCTTGATTTCTTTTGCAGATTCTCGTGGATTGATTTTTCTGAAACATCATTTTTTCAAATATCATTTGAATTTATTGGTGATTTTTTAAGTTGGTTTCAACTGATTTGTGTACAGTTGACATCAAAATTGTCAGTTTCTTCCATTTACTACATCCTGCATTTTTAAACTTTCCTGCAATAGGTACATCTCTCTGTCGTACATTAGCAGTAGATTCATAACCGTATTTTTTGAAAACTAAGCAAAATTGAACTAAAATAGTTTCGAAAAGTGTGAGTCTTTTGTACTTTGCAATTGAAGTAGTAGCACATTATTTTATTAACACTTCCAAATGTACTAATGGATATGAAAGGATTACAATGTTGTTCTGTGTATGCAGTTTCCGATTGAGATGTCCATGCCATGGATTCTAACCGACCACATTTTGAGAACCAAAGAACCATCAATGATGGAGTAAGTTTACAATATGATTAGTTGTATCATTATTGAAGGGTGTAGTTAACTAATGCAATTTTTTTAAACTTCTCCTAGATATGTGTTGTATCCTCTGGATTTATACAATGACAGTGCCCACTATGCACTATCCGTGTTTCGCAAGCAATTTCTATATGACGAAGTCGAAGCAGAAGTCAACTTGTGTTTTGATCAATTTGTGTACAAACTTAGTGAACAAATTTTTATTTATTATAAACAGCTTGCTGCAAGGTATATGTATAAGCATTTTTAAATTTATTTATTTGTCAATGAGGTAGTTGTACTAATATTTTAAATACTCTTTGCAGTATATTATTGGACAAGCGTTTCAGAGAAGAATGTGCTATTCAAGAAACTTACTTTCAGTATCCTCGACCAAATAGATACGAAACATTGATGAAACAAAGGCATGTTCAACTTTTGGGGAGATCAATCGACTTGAACAAGTTAATCACACAACGAATAAACGTCGACCTGTTGAAATCTTTGGAAATGGCAATCACTAAATTCCAAGGGAGCGATCTAACCGGCATTGTTGTAAGTACATTTTTGCATCTTATTTATGAGTGTTTTTGTAGCGATATAGAGCAGAGCCTCGTCTAAAAACTCAAAACCTAGCATTCAATTTCATTTATTTTGGTTAATTTTAGGAGTTGGAAAGTCTCATGAGTGTGAATCGACTAACACACAAATTATTGAAGAAATCTCTACCAGGACTTGATGACTTTGAATGGATGTTACGAGAGGCTAACCATAACATACTAGCTCCTTATGGGAGAATTACCTTGCATGTATTTTGTGAACTCAATTACGACTTCCTACCCAATTACTGCTACAATGCTGCAACTGGACGGTAATTTTATATCAAATCATGTTAGATTTTATTTAGTAAATTTGGTTTATGATTTTCTAATATTTGTATTTTGTAAAATAGTTTTGTTCGAGCACTGGGGCTAAGTTTCGCTGATCCAACACATCGAGAGAAAGCTCCTCAGATGGCTCATGTATGTACATACACATAAGTTTCTATAACTTATGCATGTCAAACATAATTAATCGCAAGTATTGAATTACAGCACTATTTATGGGGCTCAAAACAACTAAATATGGCATACTACACCATTTTTAGCCAATATGCAGGTAATTAGTCGAACCAGTATATAGAATTTAAAAAAATCATATATGTATATGTAAGTAAATGTGCATAAATAATATTAACCATACTTTTACTACTAGACTCACATTGGTTAATAAAATAGTAGTTATTTTTTGAGAATTCAAACTGATATATCATGATTTTTGTTTGTCAATTAATATGAAAATTAGTCTTGTATACTTATATCCAGTACTCGTAAGCTATCCGTTACGTACAAAAGCTTAACTCTTACATTACATTCCACAGGTTTCGTTGGTGCTCCGCATTTCCGAGCAATTGTGCGCCTGTTGGGTTATCAAGGAATTGCTGTTGTTATGCAAGGTATGTACTGGAGCTTAGCACAAACACCAATATAGTGTGTGTTTATAACTTTGCGAACCCCTTTTCTGATGATATAGAAGTGCTCAAAGTTATCAAAAGTTTAATCACGGGAGGAATATACCAGTTTACAAAAACACTGATGGATGCTATGCCTAAAATATGCAAAATGCCGTTGTATGACTATGGATCACCTGGTAATTGAGTAAAACAAGCTATAATTGTTAACACATAAAATAATTGAATGCCGAAATGTTAATATTTGTTTTAACAGGAATTCTTGGCTTCTATCAAGAGAATTTAAATGACATTGTACAATATCCCGATGCAAAAATGGATTTGTTTCAGCACTTCAGAGAAGTTGGCAATGCTCTTCTGTTTTGTCTCTTAATTGAGCAAAGCTTGTCCCAAGAAGAGGTTTGCGACCTTCTTCATGCTGCTCCATTTCAAAACATCTTTCCACGTCCATTCTGCAAAGGTTATTAAAACTTGCTCCGATTCGATGTAAACTAAATTTTGGAAATGCTAAGATTAACATAATCCATTGATTAACACAATTTCAGAGAACGAAAAGTTGGAAAATAAACAAAAGCGTCTTGAACAAAAATATGCCGCACTCCATATTATAGAAAACATTGAGAAGTACGGTACAGAGAAGCAACGTAATCTCGCTGCCGATGGAGATTTGTTAACGAAAGAGCGTCTATGTTGTGGATTGTCAATATTTGAAGTTATTCTAAACCGGGTACGAGAGTTTTTAAATGACCCGATTTGGGTTGGACCTCCCCCAGCAAACAGAGTTATGAATGTGGAAGAATGCACCGAATTTCATCGACTGTGGTCAGCTCTTCAGTTTGTATATTGCATTCCTGTTGGTGAACATGAGTTTACCGTAGAGTAAGTAAATCTATTCCATGAAAGAGTTATAATTTTTTTAAATAGTAAAATTTCTAATCATATAATTATGTTATAGGCAACTGTATGGGGAAGGGCTTCACTGGGCCGGTTGTGCAATGGTCGTTTTACTGGGACAACAACGAAGATTTGAGGCTTTGGACTTTTGTTATCATATACTCAGAGTACAACGAGCTGACGGAAGGGATGAAGTGGTCAAAGGAATCGTAAGTATAAACATTTAACCCTCATTATTTTTAAGATTACAACAACATGTGGAATGAATTTACTGTCATTTCTTTCAGCACCTGAAAAGAATGGTTGACCGAATCCGCCGATTCCAAGTATTAAATTCCCAGATTTTCGCAGTTCTCAACAAATACCTGAAAGCCAGTTGTACTGATGGCGACATGCCCGTGGAACATGTCCGGTGCTTCCAGCCTCCCATTCACAAGTCTGTTGCTGAAGCAGCTGGAGCGATGGGTCCAAATCAAGGGACCATGACCCTAGATCGAAATCATTCACAGTACCAGAGGTCCGAGATGAGAAATATTGTTGCAGGAGGACCCATTCCAAGCCCACAGTATTAAATTGAATGATTTCCCTTCCTTCTACCATCTCTTTTCCTCCGGTACGAACAATATTTGCTTCCAGTATAATATTTATTTAGTGTGTTTTCAAAAGTAACTTTTATACCATTCATATGAAACGTATGTAGGATTCTTTTCATTAGTAGGTAAGACTAAAAATTGTTTTAGGATGTAGTTAGCAAATTATATATACTTCAATTAATGCCATATTGCTTTACTTTAGCCAATTCTAAGGTATTATTATTGGTTATGTTATGAATTTAAAACAATTGATAAAAAGAATTGACAGAAAGAAAGGTTTAAACCTGATTGAAATATACAAGCGTTGAAAATGTGGCTCAAATTTTTATGCAATTAACCATGCATAGTTTTAATAATAATGAAGCATGTCCTGCAACTTTAATAGGAGTAGTTTAGTATAGTTATGCCATGCATATTTAAACCTAAAAAAAACATTTAAATCATGGCTTAATTGTACATGCAAATGTAGTAACTTATGTATGTCCCATTATGAACATTTTTATATCACAAAACTGCAATTTGTATTTCTTTGTATTTAGCAAAATAAAGTTAAAACTTCTATCACTTTACAATAAATGTCTTGAAATGAAATCTATGATCAAAATGCTTACGTAACACTTAATTCTTTTTGTTATATAATTTTGGTAGATATTAGTAGGGTAAGTACAGCAACTTTACGTAATTTTAACCATACTTTTACTACTAGAATCACAGTTTGTGACACTCAACGTACGTAATTAATATTGTTGGTTAGTTGGCTGGCACATGATATTTGTTCACCAAAATTATTATTGTGTAGGTTGCATAATTATTGTAATTTTCAGCATCGTTTCATAATTTCCATCAAAAATACAGAGTCTGAATGATATATATTTGGCAATTATATGCTACAAAATGATAAATTAAGGTTAAAACAAATTTATATTTGTATACTCTCGAATCAAACAATTTTGAATTTAATACTGATTTATAAATAATAACTAAATATTCGAGATTCACTATATAAGAATTTTAACAGAGTTTTTAGTGTAGCGAGAGAGATCCCGAAAAACTTGTGTTTTTGTTAATTTGAATATTTTAAATAATATCTATAAACGTTACATTACTTTTTTACAGTTCCAATTTATCCTTGAATTGAATTGAAACCAAGTCAAAAATTAAGTACAAGAAGATGTTCAGGATTTAAAATAATGTCGTTTGACTATATAAGCTCATCTTTTCCCCATTTTGTACGAACACAACTCTAACTAAAATCTAGATCAAATAGTTGTGGACGTCTCGCTATGTATGTACAGGAGAGGATGAGAAAAATAAATTAAATCAATCTTTTTACCACAGCAAATTCATATTTTTGCTGTACACTGGCTCAAGAAGAATCGAATTCTCTCCTCCATTTTTATTATGCTGGATTCTTGGGTGGCATTGACGAGAAATTCATAAATGAATTCTTGCTGCCCTTCTTCTATACTTAAAACTAGTGTCGAAACCATATTCTTAATATATTCAATTATCATCAATTGTGGCCAATACGAAATGGAAATGTCATGTGTCGGTAACTCTGGACAAGTTTTCTGGCTCATATTTTTCGCATTGTAATTTTACAACACTGAACTATGTTAATAATATAGCAATGTTTTAAGTAAAGACGAGTAAGTTTTAGCAAAACTATTTTGCAATTAAGTAACTGCTGGTCATCTAAAAAAATAAAATATTCGCTTCATTGAAAATTTAAAATGATTTTTTTTCCTACATTGTATAAAATCAATCTGTAATATGATGAGGAAGACTAATAAAAGTCTATACGCAATATTAGGAGAATACGCTATGTTTTTTGTAATTTTTCGTGCCACCACGATTTTTGTCCTAATTACACAATTAATTAAGAACACTTTACAAAAAATCGAGTGAGGGGAAGAATTGTGGTTTGACTGTCCTGATTTTTAAATCTCTAAAAATATGACTTTTCTTAGTGATGATTATCAGATCTTTTAGTTGCCTACTTTACATATGTATGTACTAATAACCTGTAAAACGCTATAGTGGTGGAACGATTTCGCCTTTAGTGGGGGACGGTATACGAATTTTACGCCCTATTTACAATTTGGGAATTAATCTTGGAGTGCGAAGATTTACTAAAAATAATAATTATTGTTCGGGTAACCTAATCGACTAGAACCCCCCACGGGTGACTTATATGACCATAGTATATGTCTGACAATTGCTTGAGAAACTTTTGGTACACTGGACTCTCCTGTTCGGACGTGGGGATGTCGTACTTTGTGCCTTGAAATGAAATTGCGCTGACTGGACACACAATGCAGGCAGTTCCAGCACCAAACACCTCCAACAACTGTAATTCATACAAGGTCATAAAGGTCACATTCATTAAAATCAATGGTCGTATGGTGAATAGAACTCACCCGCTTTTCTTTCTGCGCTTGGATCACTTCTTTCATTGTGATTGTTCGTTCAGTGACTTTGAAGTCTTTCCATTCTCTCGCCAAGTCCAAAATACTTTGTCTGGTAACGCCGGGCAAAATCAATCCGTTGAGCGGTGGAGTAATCAGCTCTCTCTCTACGAAAATAAATTGATGGACCCAATTTAATATTGATTATAGTCCTCAATTATCAATTTATATCTATCAATCGATGACCCACCTCCTTTCTCGTTTTTCATGAATACGAAAATATTCATGGTTCCAACCTCTGTCAATTGGTTGTCTTCTCCGTACAACCACAGTACCTGTTGCAATCCTGCAGCCTCAGCAGTTTTCTGGAAATTATTTAGGCAACATTTGAAAAATTATGTATATTCAAATTTTCTTGATAAGAACCTTCTCACCTGAACAAAAACTGTCGGGGCGTAGTTAGCACCCAATTTGGTGTCTCCACAACCACCCGGCCATGCTCGGACGTAGGAAGGATCCGCAAACAAAGACACCGGTTTGAACCCGGTTGCAAAGTATGGTCCGACCGGACATAGAATGACGAACAGCATAGCATGATTGGATAGAGCGACCCCCAATGAAGGCTGTAATTAGAATAATTAAGAGCCAATTTAATGTTTTAAATAAAAATAATTTTATAATACACGATTCATTCAAAATCGTGTATGACACTCACATCTGTCCCAATAAACGTGGGCCGTATGTACAGACTGGAAGTCTCGGAATGGGGAATCCACTCCTCCTCAATTTTAATGAGACGCTTCATGCACTCCACAAATTCGAGTGGGTCAAACGACGGCAACATTGAACGCCTTGCACCTTGCAAAAGTCGAATCATATTCAAGTCGGGTCGGAACAGTCGAATTTTCCCATCACTGCCTCGATAAGCTTTCATTCCTTCAAACAACTGCAAGAAAATTATAATTAATTTTTGTCTCAAGTTTATGAATATTTTCTTGAAACACGACATACTTACTTCAATCGCATAATGCAAGACTTTTGCTGCAGGATGAATTCTGAGCGGTTCCAGAGGGGAAATCTTGGGTGGACCCCATCCCGTCGGTTTCTCCCATTCGGCCGTGAACATATGATCCGTGAAACATTTGCCAAAAATTAAGTTGCCCACATCCGGTTTTTTCTGGAGTTGATCCGGTTTGGCTAACTTGACCTGGAGATCACTTGCCTTAAAAGTTCCATCAGACACGGCTGTGGAGTAGTCATGAGATGATGTGTGTGCCAAATTGGCAACTCCGACCAAGCTTTTTCGAATCTAAACGGTTGTTTAAAATCATTAGATAAGTATTCTGGATAAACAAAGTCAAAAGCAAACTCTTACTTGATGGAACAATCCATTGTGGAATGTTTTACAGAAAGAAATTGAGTATCCAGCCATAAAACGAGATATCGGGGGAGGAACACTTTTTCTTGTAAAATTTGCAGCCGTATACACAAGAAAGCTTGAGCCTCTGAAACACAAGAATTCATAAGGTTTAAGATTCATCAACACGAGTGACAAGTCTCAAGATACATAACTGGACTATGTCCAATGTACCATTACTCTTTCTCAACCCATGCACTTATTTTTAACATCCTCTCGCTTTAACCTCATCCCATAAACAAGCCGCACACTTATAACTAAAATTTAATTGCTTTTTCATACACACAACAACCGGCAATATTTCCAAGAAAGGTTCTTTCAGTTCATTGAACATTATTGTTAAGTATCAACAAATACGTATTATTTTTCCTTAAATACTTACTAGGAATCGTACGACGTTGGGACAAAATGTACCCCCTTCAACCCACCGCTGTGCCGTGCTATTGATCCTTATTTATTGCCCGAGTAAAAGGCAACAATTCTGCCCACTTTAATTTTGCCTGCTTTTACCAAGTCAACTTTTATGAATGATAACTATTCACCCGAGCAAACTGTAACTCTAAACCATTTTCACCCGTTTAATTCTTTTTCATATATTATTCTCACTTGAAATGAAATGGGTTAGCGTCGCATTTCCTTGTGAAGATATGCGAGTACTCAACACGGTCTTACTGGTTTGGGCACTCATTCAGTCTGCCAATCTTGGCATGTCTCATCGAAAGTTGAAGGAAATAAAGGGTCAACTTACATCATCATCATCTTTATGTTAATGCCAACCAAGAATGAGGAATTTAGTGTCACTTTTAATGACTTATCATCAGCATGGCGAGCGAAATTCATTATCGAGGAGCCACTAATGTCAGCAAAAGAGGTTGGCAGTATGGTTTTGTCTGCTGCTTCATACATACATGAAGTAACTTGTAAGCAGTTAGATTATGTCAGACGACGACGGCTAAATGACCTTCGCCTTCACTCTCTTTTTTCTAGTGTGGTTCAGTTTTGGTAGGAGTTGCGATCGCCATACAACGTGCTCACCACGTACGTTCGTATGTACATATGTTGATAGAATAGTATAGTTCTGTGGTATGTACATATGTTGCATCATGTAATGATTAAAATGCCACCTTAATCTCAAGGCTCGCCCCATGAAAAGGTTAAAATAGTTCATCTGACACTCTCTCCAGTCGTATGTATGACAAGCATACGTGCATTACAATTATCTGATGAAAAGGCCAAACGTGATCTGATTATTCTAATAATAGCGAACGGACATTAATTTCTGAGCATGCGGCGATAATACTAATCTCGAGATGAAACAATTAGGGACATGGGTGAGGTTATCACCCGAGAAAGAAACGTATATGTAGTCGCGTGATGCTGTTTCGGCAGATTTGGTCAGCATGAAAAAAAAAACTGATACGCAGGCAATATTTTACATGTGTACAATTTATACATGATTATGTTGCACATTCTGTACAGGATATTGTCTCCAGTTTTGTGTGTACCACGTAAAAACATTTATCACGATGAGTCACACTGGGATTAAGACCGTTTGCGTATGAAAAATACATGAGGATAAAGGTACGCATGCCGTAGGTCAAGATCAATATGGTGAAGTTGTACATGTGTAATCAATGAATGACTTGAGCAACTCGTTCAAGTTTATTTGCCATGTATTTTAATGACACTGTTTGTGTTGGTACATGGATTAAGCCGCATTTTACTCCAATTAGCACCTCAACGTAAAATAAGTTTCAATTACCTGACTTGGTGATGATGAAGAGTATACAATCACAGCAGCCGCAGTGAAGTTGTAGACAAGTGCGGCAGAGTTAGGAGTAATTGACGCTCAATTTGTTAACGTGTGAACACAAATAAATTGGTGGTACTACAAATACTTTGGCAGGTTACGAATTGCAAATTATTTAAAATATGTAATGGCACAAGTCACAATCGAAATTTGCTTCAACTTTGGCAAAGAAATACTCGTCTTTCCTGAATCAATTTTCTTTAATGAATGGGCTTTGGAGCAGTTCACTCAAGATGAGCTTAGTCCGTCGTGCTCGTGAGACGACTGTGTTACACACGCAGAGATCAAAAACTCCAATACCAAGTTTCGGTTTAACTGCTTAGGTTAGATTTTCCACACGGTTATAACAGAACCGAGTTGCAAGAGAGTCGCAATACTCGATAAAACTTGGAATCGCACTAGTATGCAGATAGACCATCAAGCAATCCAATCCAGCAATTGCATAGGTTATAAATTATTATATGTGGATACTTAACCCTGCTGCAATATGTAGTGAATTGGTGGCGTTCGTATTACAGCCAAGAGGATCGAACGATCGCGTCAAGTTGTGAGGATGAATTAAGTAAGGTGAAGTTTAATACGGTGACGGATCCATTATTGCATTAGAATAAATATGATGAGATTTAGAATGCATGAGTCCGATACATTTTCAGAGAGATTATTATTGCCAGGCAAGAAATAGAGGTGCAAGTACAAGCGTAGTAGTAAAACTTGTATAAGCAGCAGCAGTTCCTCCAGTCAGATAGCTAACTTTTTGAGGCGCAAATACAATCTTGTAATGGAACAAAGCTTCTTCCTATATGTATATCTCCTCCCTCGTGTCTTGTGCTAATATTTATAAGAGCTGGCAAATTGTTGTAATATATTTAGCCGGACCAACGTGTGTGTAGATGTGGATACGAGACCTTGCAAATTTCTAGTGGTTCTAGTACATGTGTGTCTGGCAGCACGAACGACTTTGGATAAAAGTTGGCACAATTCTCTCTCTTATTGTGATTGTGATCCGATACGTACACATTTTACTCGTGGGTTGGGAGAGGTATATGCATGAACAACAACGTTGCATGTCTTGCTGGATGGATACACTATTCTGCAAAGATTTGGCGCATATTCCATCCACGGAGGAGAAAGATTGGTTCAAAATCGTGGTGTGAACCTCCTCAGTCCAATGGCGAGATCGCGTTGGTTAAATTTGCAGGTGTGTTCTGTGACGTCAATATTTTAGCTAAACTACTAAAGTAAACTGTAACGGAGAGCTAGAAGAACATCTAACTGCGACTATGCTTTCAAGTTATTTTAGGATTTTACGAACTCATGACACTCCTCTTTTTCTCAATCATAACATGCCAGCAACGCTATTATGATAACTGGTCATATGGCGACAGGGTGAATGTGCGACGGCAAAAAGTAACCTTCACCCAAGCCTTTATTGACATCGGGATGACATAACAAGCAATCTCAGGGATGTGATGAATGAAGTGAATACCTGACCATGAAATACGTTATGCTACACTATGCTACCTGACCATGCTCAACTTATATACAACTTGATCTGATGTAGTTACATACAAGGGAAAAGTCTCGTTGGGAAAAGCCAATAAATTTCAGTCAGTGTTGTTTAAATATGCAACATGACGCCAACTCAAAATCTGCACTTTTCCTGTCTGCACGTAGCAATGATAAACAACGTAGACAGATAATCACGCTTAGATTTAGAAAAGTTGTACGCATTAAAATTGTAGTAGTAATACGAGATGTATGGGGATTATTTCATTAAATGTGCGATCAGATGCATGCATAACTATCTCATTGATAAGCTATAAAATCCCTTCAAAAGATTATTATGCATTTGATGAGGTGTTTGTTTGTATGTACATAATTTGCATTTTTTTTATCTGGCATTGCAATTTGTGCAAAATTATTTTAAATTTTGTATGTAAGCTGATTTATGAGTGATGATAATCTCATGATTTGTAAATTGTTATATGAATATGAAATTGCGTTTAATATTTTCCTCTATAATTTCTCTTTTTCATATGTATCTACTACATATTACGTGCATATTGTGTGCATATTATGTGCAAAATACTCCAAATGCTCTCCAGTAGAAAAAATTATTTCCTGGGCCTTCTCAATTGTTTCCCTAAACTGCAGCCAATTTAGTACCGGTCTGCGCCAACTTAAACAGCATATCCTCGCGAATTCTACCGATTTAATTTTGATTTAAGTCGACACTCACATTAACTGTGGAACCAGTAGTATCATGCAATTTAACCGTGTTAACTCGCCATGTCTTCTAACGATGAGGAGGCGAGGGTTCGGCTGAAAATTTTGTGAAAGAGTGTACTTCTCCATCACGGGAGATCTCTTTACACATGTAAAATCCCAATAAGCTAAACAGGCAGACTTGGTCTTTCTCGTCCTTCCTTTCCTAATTTTGCCAAAACTTTGTCTTTTTCAAAATTTGAGCTATAAAAACTTTAAAAAATGAACCGACAAGTTTTCAGTCTTGCGAAGGCAGTTCTCGCACCCAAACAGGGAGTGAAAATCAACTCCATCGGTGAGTCCTACATTTTTCTATTCTGTATTAAAAAGTTTGAAAAAACCCTTGCCTTTAATATAAATTTGGCAATCCTAAAAATAAGTTTGAGATGAAATGCGGCATTTATTTTAGCATTAATTCGGCTTTTAACACTTAATTCGGCCAATTAGTCAAATATTAGAGTCGCAATGGGGTTTAAGAGAATCTATTTTGTTGTAAAATCGGCCTATAAGTAAAGAACATCAATTGGGTCTACGTGCCAAGATACTCATAAATCTTGTTAGTTAATTGTGGTCCTAATAAATATAATTTTGTGCGTCCGTGTTTTCAGCCAGGAACAGTTCGCACTACAAACCCCCAGCGAACTGGTATGAGCCAACGATGAACGAGCTGCCGGTCCCAACAGGGTCATGGCAGGCCGCGTATGACGCTCAACAGAAAAAGAATAACCTCCACCTTATCGTCGGCGTTTCTTTCTTTGCTTTTACACTGTTCACGGTAAGTTTCAATTCTCAGATTGTACGAGGAAATATTTTTTAAGGGGTGATTTATCCCAAAAATTTTCAAATTTTACCCACAATTCGAATAAATAGAACGTGTTAAATTTCAAATCACTCCATTAAAAAATTATGAACTAAAGTCTCCAACTGTAAAACTAACAAAATTGTGTGTTCTTCTAATTACAGATGAAGGCATCAGGACTTATTGTTCTTAACTCTACCATCCCAAAACTACCTGACGATATGTAAAGAGTAACTAGCTGTCTATTTCGCAAAGAAGTCTAAATAGTTTATTTCCTGCCCATCTTCATGTTATCATTGTAGTACGTCACGTAGCGTGGATAACTTATAGCAAAACCAATCAGTCAGATATTTACATCAAATGCGTCAAATTCAAGTGTCATCATTATCATCGAGTGAAAGCAGATTGCAGATGAAATGTAACTACACCTTGTACATTTGATTGAAATAAGTACACAAATAAATAAGAAATCAAAAAATATTTGTCGTCAACCCGGTTATTTTATATCACTAAAATGAATTAAATTACCAATTTCGTCCATAAATTGAACTCATTACGATGCATATGCACATAGAAGTATGTATGTTTTTCAGATTCCATGAAAAATAATGAAGGCGGATAAATTTCTCACTAAATTATTGACATATTAACCATTTTGCCGGATCACATTACATTGTAATCTGGTTACATTTCATCCGTTACGCTTGCATTCATGCCCGTATTGTGGAGTTCATATTCCAGACGGAAGGTAGTATCCAGTAGAACCCGGGACTTGATCCGGGCATTTTCGGTAGGTAACTCGGTACTGCTGGACTAAAAACCCTTCAAGTGAGTTGTCGGGATTTATGCACGAGGGAACTTTCAGAATCTTTTACAGATGAATAGATTTTTAGCGGAGAAAATAAAACTGCGTTATCAAAAAGGGCTTTTGCTCAGGAGAAAGTCGGAGGTCTAAGTTTACTCGATTCATCATGGTGAAGTAGACCAGAAATAAGGAGAGGTAAAGGTAACCACCAGAAAAACAAGCAATATTTTTTAAAAAATTATTCAATTTCAATCAATATGTTATTTCTTAATATCACTTTCTCCGCTTTAAAGACTAATTTGCGCTATGTTTATTACAATTTGAAACCGTATCGAGGGGCTATTTGAAAAAATTATTAAATTTGCACTATATTTTTCAGGTTCAGGTAGAACCGAAAGTACAAAAATATACGTTATCCATTTGAATAATTCGACACACATCACCACCACCACACGCACGCAAGGATGGTGCTCGAGGCATCACCATCAAATGCACACACCAAGTTTCATGGAATAATTATTTCGCTGAAGTGAAGTGATTCCCTTTTTGCTGCACTGCAATGCATACCCTGCAAAATATTGTCGGTATTTAAAAAATCCTAGTTTATTTAAATTAAAAACACTTTATGTTTCCAAAATTATTTGCAATGTTGAAGCACATACTTAAGCAAAACTTGAGTGTATTAATAAAGACGTACTTTAATTTGCAGAAATGAAGGGAGCTGCAGAGGAGACCGACGCAGTTCAATTGGCTGCGTATTTCCACTCGCTTTATCAAAAATTCCATCTAAAGAAACATGAGAGAAAGCAGGTGCAACGGAAGGACAAAGTCCATCGTCCAAAGTCACGTCAAAGAACAAAATCGTTGTTGGTGAGTCGCGTTACTAAATATTATGAATATTATGACTTGATGTTTCTCAGTAATTATTTCTAACAAAAATGTTTCCACACAATAGCTTTACTCGTCCACGGCTGGGCTGCCATTGGAAGTTCCGAGGATTGAAATTCTTGGGAATTGTTCTCCTTTCTCCGGTAGGATACATATTGATTATTTTACATAGCCCGAATTTTTGACATACTTGACATTGAATACCTTTGCCCTTTTAGCCTTCGCCAACATCCGCCAACTCGTTTTGGAAGTGAGTTTTGCCGAAGAATCCAAAAAATGGTTGGTCGCAGCGGAAGAACGAGACAATGAGAATGACAACAGTTCCAATGAGAGGATTCCATCCCCAATTTCCCTCCCGAAAGTGGTCGGCATTGGTCTCGAGACGGTGTTCCAATTGGTGAAAGAGAGTCAAACGAAACATTCCAGTCTCTGCATTAAAGCGTTGGAAGCGTTGCTCCACATTTTGGGAGGACAATATCCTCAAAGTCTGCGAAAAGAACCGATTCCTGTGATTGATTCCCTCTTCGCCATATTGTTAAGTCTCTCCAAGGAGATTGAGGTTGACGTTCCAAACTCCAGCAGAGCACAGACCAAAATTTCCACCGCGGAACAAATGACCTCTCTCGCGACGGCTTGTCTGATCAGCTTGGCAATTGCCAGGGGCGAATCCAAGCTCATGTTGGAAGCAATTTCCTCACTTTTCATGTGCCCTGAGAAACTCGCAACGCAAAAATTTGATGTAGGTCGAGATTTAAATATTTTTCCATTAAATAAATATTTTTAATTTGAATGTTTAAAAAAAACTTATTTGTCCAACAGAATCCAGACATTTTAAAGTCGTTACAACGAAGTACTCACGCGATTTTAGTGGGCAGACCTATCCTTCCACAATGGTTATCTCACGGAATTCCCATCAACTCTTGCGTTGATTCCTTTCCTGTAAATTACCCTCCAGGTTCGTGGTGAAGGAACTTTTTCAAAAAAAAAAGAAGTTTTCATAAACTTGTCTTACAATATCACGACCTTGATTTACAGATCCACCAGGAAGTGTGTTCAGTGCTAAAAGTTTAGCTACAGATGGTCGCTATCTATTTCTTCATTGCTCAAGAGGAATTTACAAAATTGGATCCGGTTGCTTTGGAACGATCAAAGGACGGATTTACGTTTCTGATCCGAATTTTCATCTGTCTGAAAAAATTTGGCTCGGATGGGCAAGTGTGAGTGGAAAATAATACAAGAAAAAAGCCAAGGGTCGAATCTTTGAAATCTCATTAAATTGACTCAAAATGTCGTTTTCTTTCAGGGGAAACTATTTTACCGAATAGTAAATAGCGGAGATTCTCACCTTAAAGTGTTGAACGAAAACACATTCGAAGTTAAGGAAGTCATCAAGACTTTGGAGGATGGGAGCGTGACCATGTTCTCCGATGGACTGCATGTGGGTGCCATTGTTCCTTCGAAAGATGACGGTTTCGTGGCACGGACTGTTTGGATGGAGACTGCAAATGTTACTTGGGATACGTTTATAGACCTTAACCTTAGACTTGTGAAAAAGTCGTTGGAAGTTTCCGGCCCATGCCCGTGGGACAACGAGTCCACTCCACGGTCGATTGTGACTGGCATTGATGAAGATGTTGTCACCATTTGTGCAGGAAAAGATTTCGCTTTACTACGAACACAACATGGAAGGGTAATTCATGGGGCAATAAATAAAAACCATTTAATGACGAGATTTAAATGCTGAATAAATAATTGCAGATATTGTACTGCGGGAAAGGGGCAAGTTTAGGACAGAAATCTGGAATCACTAAATGTTCCAAATGGTTGGAACTTAGTCTGACAAAGTGCCCACGATTCATCCAATGTGCCGTTGGTCATGAAGGAATTCACGCCTTGCTCTTAGCAGAAGATGGAACTGCATATTTCGTTGGAACTCCGAAACGAGGAGAGGACGGTGATCAAGGTACACATATCAGAATTATTGTTCAAAATCGTACTTTAAAGTAACCATTACTTAATGTGGTAATACGCAATTTCGATTTTCAGCTAAACCACGACGTGTTGCCAAAGCCTCCAAGCCGAAAAAAGTAATTAGAATGGAAGGGTATGACGTAACATCTGTGGCTTGTAACAATGGAACCTCCGCCTTTGTGACACGAATTGGAGACGTTTACATGTTTGGGAAGGACACGGCTCATTGTGACCCAACCACAGGGTGCTTGATAGCCTTGAGGGGAGTCTTCGTATCGCAAATTGTTATGGGAAAAGCACACAGTATAATTCTTAGTGGGGATGGTAAGGTGTACACCATGGGGATTAACAATCGAGGTCAGTGTGGGAGGACCTGGTCCCCGCAAAAGGATGGTAAATTTCCTGTCTCATACGGTAAGTATAGACCATTGCTCATATCATTAGTCGACTACTTTTTTACTCACCAAAAATGTTATACTCCAGGTTGTGCGGATGTGTTGGAGGATGACGATGGAGAATGGGAGGAAGCGTCTGCAGCAGCAATTGGTCCTCCAGAACAGGAAGGAATTTGCCCGACAGGGTCACATCGCTGGAAACATGAGCAGTGCATGATTTGTACAATTTGCAGAGAGTGCACCGGCTACGGGAGTGCTTGCATATCTGCCCTAAGACCAGATCGGAATCCAGGACAGTGAGTGAACGTCAATTTTTCATGCAAGCTCAGTCACTTAAATGCGTAACGATTTCATACTAATTTTTGCAGGGAGTGCGGATGTGGCGTTGGCGACGCTGGGTGTGCAGAGTGTGGATCGTGTAGGGTGTGTGCACGTGAAGGCATTGACGATCAAGATTACGTCGTCATTGATGCGCAACGAGTCTTGGATCCTGTTGGTGGTGACTTGTTGCAAGTGGAAGAAGGTGATGATTGCTTATGTGCTGATTTATTAGCTCAGCACGATTATATGTGTATTGGTTACTTTTTATTGGTTTTTCTTAACAGAGCGAATTGTTCCGTTGGATGATCATCAAGAGAAACGCTCAAAACCATCGTCAAAGACAACGAAAACTCGTGGAAAGGAAAATTCCATGACTTCCTTTCCACCAAGTCGGCTAAATCTTCCAACTGCTTACCAAGTCATTCAAGTGGCTTCTGGTTTGCATCATTCTGGTAAAAATTTAAAAGCACAACTATTTATATTGATTTACATAATGAACATGATTTTGTGATTTGGATCCTTTAGTGATTTTGGACTCGAACGGATCAGTTTTTGTCTGTGGAAGCAATTCCTTTGGGCAGTTGGGTTTGGGCGACTTATCGCCTCGACATACTCCATCCAAAATACGTTTCCCAGATCCTGATACAAAAATTAAACAAATTGCTGCTGGTAGCTATCACACTGTTGCCTTGGACTCTAGCGGAGTTGTGTTTACCTGTGGATCTCACACGGTATTAATCAATTAAAGGACGCTGTAATGCATATTTATTTACCAGACATCTAAGAATGCCTCCTGTTGGAATTAACTTTTCAGAAAGGGCAGTTGGCTCGCCAACCTGATGAAAATAAGACTGATCCATTTTGGTTTGGCTCCATTTAATTAAGCAAATTTATTGTTTTAAAGGCACCCATAAATAATTAATGTACTCTTTCCAGGTTTTCCAAAATGGTTGCTATACCAAACGTTGGTTCAAAATGTGGACGAAGAGCGACTTGGATCAATGCTTCTGGTGATGCCACATTTATCAAGTTAGAAGTCAGCTTAATTAGCCCAAAAATGCTACAAAAGTCAACAGTTACAGCTAATGCTTCTGCAATCTGTGAGAAAATATGCATATAAAATATTTCGTCATATTTTTAGTTGTTGTTACACATTAAAAAAATATAATTGTTTCCGAACCAGTAATCATTCCCCCGGTTGCTTGTGCAAAGTCGGCATCCGTAATCATGATCAACAGGAAGGACGGATGTTGCTCATACTTTGAGGGCGAAAAGAACCTTGGTTTGGCTACAAGTGCCGCAACGTTGGACCCCGTTTATGATTTTCTGTGGACGTATGAATGGAGAACTCATTTTATGAAATGCTACAACGTTATCGCAACCGCAGTCAGAAATCCAGAAATCGAATCCAACACTTGGCTTACCAAACCACCCTACGCAATCCCAGTCTCTCCTTGTGCTAAACTTGAACGGTGGCAAGCTGGGGCGAATTTGTTGGCTTGTTTGGACAGTTTAATTGCAGCGAATATTCAAGGAATGTCTGTAAATCATGATGAGCAGGCGGTGGTTGCCGTTTTATCGAAACTTTACAGCAGGGATGACTACTCTGCCGTGTGCCGGTTCGAAAGTCATGGTGGCGGCTGGGGATATTCTGGGCACAGCGTTGAAGCTGTTAGATTTTCGTGTGACTCGGACATTGTGATTGGAGGGTTCGGACTGTTTGGGGGACGTGGAGAGTACTGTGCTAAAATTAAGGTAAAACTCTAAATTTAACAGAATCTAATTAATAATTGTACATTTGTATATGCAATTCTTGAAACTGGAAATCCTCAGATTTTCGACATTGGCCCCGAAGGAAGTGAGAACGAGGGTGACGGGGAGCTGTTGGCAGAAACTGAGGAAGTTCCGTATGAATGCGGCCCACGCCAGAAATTTCGGATGATGTTTGAAGATCCCATACCTCTCCAAGGGGGACGGTGGTACGTTGCCTGGGCGCACATTACTGGACCCTCCAGCGATTGTGGGTCTAGTGGTCAGAGTCTCGTCGTAACAGAAGACCTGTATGTACTCTAATTAGAAATAACAAATACTGTCTTTTGTTTCCCGTGTAACGCTAATATTATTATTGTTTTCCATGCAAGGATCACATTTCACTTCAAGTCTTCAAAAAAGTCAAACAACGGGACTGATATGAACGCTGGACAAATACCCCAAATTCTGTACCGCTTGATGACCTCTGATCAAAATACGTTTGGGACCAAGCCAAAACCACAAATGGAGCCCATATACCTTCTGACGAACGACTTCATATCCATGTTTTCTCATGTTCGTGGCATATCAAATTGAGTGCATTTGTGCTTTATATGTCCTGCTTAACATAACTGTTCCTCATTTCACAGACGAGCATACAAACGCTTATGAGTCTGATAACATGGTGCTGGGAGGAAATGCAACTGCTCTGCGCTTCCGAAGACGTCGATATTTTCAAAGCTGAGCTTATGGAATTTGTCACTAGCTGTGGTTTACGTATAATTGAGTTTAGCATCAATCAAGCATATCCTGTTAAAGGTTATATACATCGTTCTTGTACCCATTAAATTCTTAAAATATGTGAAACTATATCAGACAAGTTTTTAATTCGCACCACAGGTTTTAGTCGTTTAAGCCAAACGGAAAGTTCCTGCATGGCCGAGGCAGTTGGGGAAGTTAGAACTACGATACAAGCCATGATGTCCTGCAAAATTGGTACTTATTATTACTTATTCGTACCTAAAACGAAAAAAACATGCATAAATGTTCAAACTACTGATTTTATTTAACGCAGAACCTCGAGGTCCAATAGCTCACACGATTGAAAATATTATGAAACAGACAAGCAAAACATTTGTCAACTGCTTTCAAATTTTTTATCCCACATCTGTCCTAAAGTGGGAGTGTCTTTCCAACTTTATGAACCTGTATTTCGATGAGCCACAAAAATATGCAAGGATGCTCAGCGCCATTTTGGAAGCTCTTTGTCACTGTAGAGGTTATTTGTTGGGCGTCTTTCCAATTTTGAATAGCATATCACGTCACCACTTTGAAAACTCTAGTGTAAGTTTGGCAACTAATGTAATTTTTAGTGACAAGAATTACGTACTTGGATGAAAATTTATGATATATTTTGCAGAGGTCGTTCGTCCTCAATGACGACTCTCCGAATAAACCACTCCCGTCCAAAAACCAAATATTGATCAGTCAAATGGCGGCACGGAATGATGTTGAAGGTTTCTCTAGGTCAGAATGGACCTTCTGGGAGGTCCTTGAAAACGTGTTGGAAGTGATCAATCGAGACAGTGGAAACGTTGAGCCAGCCACGAAGTCACTTGTTCATAACTCGTCGATTCTTTTGGCACGCTTGATGGAGGAACTTGTTTCTCATGCATCCGGGACTTATGTAATTAATTAATTAACTAGTTAATTAATCCTCTAAGTTTAATTCAATAATTGCATGCATAAATTACTCACAGGCCGAACTGGAGAGCATTATTGGACAACTCGTTTTGGTAACACCGTCCCGATTTACACGCACAAACCAAAGTAAAACATGGAATACTGGGAATGGGTCGCCAGACGCTGTGTGTTTTGTAACCGATCAGGCCGGAGTAATTGTGTTTGGTTCCTGTATTTATTCCGGTACTGGAAATTATGAGTATGAGCTGGACATTTTGCAAGAGGTATAACATTTGCTGGATTTACTAAGTAAATTATTCCACTAATGTAAATAAGATTATGCAGGTGGATGAAGATAATGCGGAAAGTTGTGAACAGCAAAATGCAAAGTGGACGACAATTGAATCTGCGAGAGGCAGTTTTGAGTCTGATGATAGTTTTGGCGATATCATGGAAATTAAATTTCCTCATCCAGTTCATATCAAGGTAATAACAAAGCGTTTTCTCAGTCTAGAGTGATGTATTTTATGAATCTGGCAAACACTTTTTTGTCTTCCAGGTTGGCGTTAAATATGCAATAAGACTGAAAAATCATGGGGCACGCACTTGTAACGGAGATGGCGGAATCACTGTACTTCGTTGCTCGGATGGAACTGTTTTCACTTTCAGTTCTTGTTCGTTAAGTTTCAATGGAACTAACCAAATCCGAGGACAAATCCCACACATTTTGTATTTTCGGTAACTAAAAAACCTGGATCATTTACAGGAATATGCATTTATTGGAAAGATGCGATAATAAACTTATTTTTGTTTGGATAAACTAGAAACCCAGATGACTCCGAGTCTCGTTTGAAAGCTAAAGCCATTAGTGAGATGCAAGCACGGAAATGTGCTCAGAAAATGTCCAAATCAATTTTCGATAGTGCTAAAAAATTATTCGTAAAAGCTTCTTCCGATATGAACGAATTATCAAAGTCTTGCCTTGTGACCACTCTGATGCCATCAATCATGGCGCATCTTCCTCGGTTAGCAGTGTCAAATTTGAGAGTAAGTTGATTCTTTCGTATCTTAATTTAACATACAGATTTTGTAATCTTTAATCTACTCTTATTTTTCAGAGTTGTGTCGACTTGCTCGGACAAATTACAAGAATCATGCCGACTGTATCCGATCTAAATAACCGCCTCCTGGTAGAGGACGATAATAAGATTGAAAATAATTTAAGCGATTCTATTCATTTTGCGTGGGTTGAAAGTGAGCATCCCTACAAACCTGCAGTGGTTACACATTACAAGTAATGGAAAATTTGTTGAATTATTAAATGCAAGTACTTTTCTTAACTAAATCAGCTAATTTATGTCACCTCATTTCAGAGTCAAATTCCCTCCAAATGTGCAAATAATGGCGATTGAGTTTGACCCAAGGTGCTGTACAGCCCAAATAGAGGATAGCGTCAGGCTCTACATTCCCAGAGGTGCTGTCGCCCCAGATCCACAAACCAAAGACAACAAGTCGTCAAATTCTCCAGAAGCCGGATCCGCAGAAGAGCAAGATTCTTACAGCAACTATATCGCAATTCTGGACAAGTACTCGAGAAAGGAGAACTGGCCTAAGAAAGCTGTCATTCTACCAGGTTAATATTAACTAATATTTTACATGTGACTGCAATATGATGGTAATAATAACATAAGATGTAAATAACTCTCATGAAATTGATTCCAGGAAATGAAGTTCTATTCTCACTGGAAACCGCGTCAGATTACACTCGAGCAGAGAAAGATCAGTACTTTGGATTCCGATGTCTCGTCTGTGGTTTCGAAGTGAATCATTACGAAGGCCTGCAACGACTGGAGATGGAACTCACATTTCTAGGAGGACTCTGTGCATTCGAATTGGTGAAGAAGGACATTGTGCTGCCCCCAGTTTCAAGTAAGTACATGCGAAAATACACGCACTCCAAATATGATACATATTTTCTACATATTACGTATGCACAATTACTCAAAAACTAATTTTTTTTCTAGCCGAAGAAGTCGAAGCATCTTTGGAGACTTTGCCATCGGATGAAAAGATGATGGAAGTATGTGCCAAACACCAGCAATTGTTTTCGAAAGGGATCGGGCTTGAATATTTCCCAGACGTGCACGAAGCCCTGGATGGAATTGTTCCACTAAGGTAAGACCACCACCTTATACTTCAATGCTCCCTATATTTCCGCAGTTTTATTTCATTTCATTTGATTTCTTTGTATGCAGTTTTATTTTTTCTTGGTGCTCGTCCGGATGATTAATCGCAAAGAGGTTTTACTCAATCATTATTATTTTTTACTCCATTAAAATTGTTTTATTTATTTTGTCTGACACTTGGATACGTACTATAATTTATTACCTGACTAATATATTTCCATACAAAATAGTTCATATACTATTACGTACATAGATAATAACGTTAAACGGTACATATACATTTCTCGTGAATCATACAGTGCAAATTTTTTTGGAAGCGCTGAAAAACGTAATCAGAACGACACGATTATCTGAAACGAATGGTTTTGGCATTACATAAACTATTCTATAATCCGTAAAGCGTAGATTTAATGACGTACGAGAGGACAATTCATAAAATGATATTTTTATATAATAATGTATATCAATCCACCACGAGTCCCAGTTTAAATCAGTACTCGCAAAAATTCATTGCTTATTTGAGGTATAGGCTACAAGGGGACGTGTTGGAACAATAACAACGGTTGAGACATGTTACAAATGTGAAGCTCATGTCATGACGAAAAGTACAGAAGTGAGTCGTTAAATAGTCTTAATCAGAAAACTAATTTATTTGATTGTGATATGCGAAGAAGATAGCATTTAATTTTTTGGCTGGCTGGGTCACTCACGATATAAACTCTTAAAAATACATAAGTAAGTCTGTGTGCTGGCTGGTTATCATGTGACAAAGTTTTTGCGACCAAATTAGGAATTAAACAGGCAACTTAGAATAAGCACGACAAAGCACAATAATATTTTATAACGACAAGTAGTAGCAATAAAAGTGGTGAGGCAAGTTGATCTCGATCCGATCCTTGTTAAATACTTTATTACTTCTGGGAAGTAGAAGAAACAGGTTTGGGAGGAATGGAAGGCAGTGGTCGCTTATTTTGTGAACTATTCCCAGCGACGTTACTGGAGTCAGGGGGGAGGTTATTTGGACCACGGGATGGTGAATGACATGAGGGTCCGGTGGTAGTGGTGACGGAACAAGAGCTGTTATCGTCCTCAAAATTCAAGCCGTTCAGATTATTGGTGTGTTGAGGCGAGTTGTTGAGTATCACAGATGAAGTTGTGGGGTGAGCCTGGCTTTCGTAATTATCTCCAAAAATAACGGGATTGTTGTCGCTGCTGTTGGTGCTGAGCTGTTGTCTCGCACTGTAAGGAGAAAGGTCTGGATTCCTTGCTGCAGCGCACATTAGTTCGGCGTAAATATGTGTCTGAAAGTCGCGAGGATCCGTATAGTCGCACAACCTTGGAGGAGACGAGGTTGGCAGGGGTGGTGGCGACGACGTTGTGGGCGATGTCGCTGCCAAGTTGCGTCTTTCTCTCTGCACCGCACTCAGCTCTGAGTAAATATGGGAATTAGAGTTGCTTGGACCCACACCGACAGTCTTGGTTGGAGAAGGCGTTAGTTGAGCAAAAGTGGACATGGAGCGACGTTGAGAAGATCGGTCGACTGGGACTGGCTGTTGGACTTTTATGTTTCGTCTCGGTGTGACGAGTGGTTTGAGGGAGTCGGTTGATGCGGTATTTGTATTTCGAACGCTGGGTTCCAACCCGTCACTACCACCCCTGTTATCGTTGCAGGTTACGTCGGGAGGACTAGAAATGGGGACTTGGTCGCGAACATGGATCAAGTCGTATAAATGGTCGATTGTCTCCTTTGCGTCCCAGAAGGAGTCTGGTTTAGACAATTTTTCTCTCAGACCTTCAATAATATCAGCACTTAGCTCTGTGGGGAGAGTTTGAACGCCCTTGTCCTCCATTTCGACATCCTCCAAGAGGGCGATTCGGCTAGGCATTGAAGGAGTCTTGGTCATCTTACTGTTTGGTGGGACAGGTGGTCCGTACGGTCCGTCAGGGTTCAAAGATCTGACAAATTCTTTGCGTGGAATGTCATTTGCAAGATCGCCACCGTTATCCTGCTTCCTAGGGCGTTGTTTCCGTATCATATAAACCATCAGGGTTAACAGGAGGGAGACGACCATAAAAAGCACAAAGGCTCCAATAAAAAAGGCCAAGAGTTGCAGACGGTTTGGCAGTTTCGGATTTACGTGCATTTCATTCACATCACTTGTGCACATGTACATATCAGAGGAGCACAGAATATGGAGTTCACTGTAGGACACGTAGCCATCCATGGTCCCATTTTCAGAGATGAAGCAACCCTTGTCTTTCTCCTCCAGGGGACATTGGCTGGACTCTAGGAGTTCGTCGAGGAACCAGGATTTTGACTCATTGAGGGAAAGTACGGACACAAATGTAGATCCACAAGTGCAGGCTTGGAGGAAAGTGTTATTTTTTACAGTGACGAAAGGCAGTTCTCCCATCCCGGTCACGACAAAGTCCTTGGTCACTTCTCCCCAAGAGTTGCCCACGAGATAAGCCGACGTCTCCCCACCATTCGTGCCCAATTGGGTCAAATCAATACCCCGATGGCTCACTTTGTTAAAACTATTATTCACAAAATTCATAACGCTCCATGTCTTAACATAAAATCCTTGTGACTTGATATTTGATAAGGTACATTGCTCCAGATAAACGTTCGCAATGAGACCGCTGATTCCATGCTCTTCGACGCTGCCAATCGTGCAGCCAGTCCAGTTCAAGTGTTGAATACCTGACGCCACTGCATCTCTCTGGATCTGTTTGAAAGTCGAGTTATGAGCAAGGAGAGAGTTAATCATCGCACGTTGATAGAAGGCATCCGGCTGCACGTCAAGAATGGTGGAGCCCACGATGGAAATGATATCAATTTTGAGAGATTGGATAAATCGAGACGATAGCGTTCCTATTCTGCAGTTGTCGAACTTCAATAGGCTGAGATACGACGGAAATGCTTTGGGCGGAACTGTGGCAATGTCACAATTGTTGAATTCCACTGTGGTCTCGTGTGAAAAGCTGCCCGAGTCTGTAAAATGACACAGGAAATAGAACAAATTAAATCATCAATGGCCCCATTTTTATTATCATGAGACTTTCCTCATTTTTCATTTTGTTCTCAACCCATCAATCGTGCATCTTGCATAAACTAAGGAGTAAATTAGCACAAACAGCTCTTTTATGTTGAGCACTATCGATCAATCAGGATCAGGCTTTACAAGTTCTGCTCTGAGGAATTTGAAAAAAGGAAATTTATCTTAAACCACAACCAAGCGTTTCATGAGATAGATAATAAAAACAGATGTGTGTACGTGTATCGCACGTGTGTGTGAGTGTGTGTGTGCGCCTGTTCGAAACAAGTCGAAATGAACCATGATTAGAATTGTCAAAATATTTTTATCTTTTAGAAAATGTGAAATATTTAAAACTGCTACAGTTTTTCTCATCCTCTGTCTGATTCTCTTGTGAGATTTCCACTTCCGTTCGCAATGGAAAGTTAATTTCCATTATTTTACTTTGTATGTACAGCAAACACAGCTCAACTAGCATGTAGTGCAACTAGATCGCTATTATAAATCGCCACCACACCACACCACAAACCACCACCGCTACAAACTGCAATAAACGCGTACTTAATGTCATTCATGATTTCCAAATAATAAACCTCCCAACGCTGCTGTCAGCCTATTACACCTACCGACCCACCGACGGATAGCGATAGCGAGTGTCGGTTACAAAAACTACATATTTTTCTACGTGGCATGATTTTTAACTCATTAAAATTTTCTATCATGTTTTATTCCGTTGTTATCTCCATTGGAGCAGTAACTTGTGGGAGTGTCCCACCCACACCAATTTCACTGCCTTCTTACACTTATCTCTCCATTTCGATGCATCCAAACCAAATTGAGTGAAATAGTTGAAACTTGTCGTAAAACGGGATGATGTGATGAGGGAATGAAATTAGTTTTATGTTCTATTCCCAAATATGCAAATGCGCCGCTTTTATTTTCTGGACAACCACCATGCATCATAACCAGTTGGAAAAAACGATAATAATAATAAGTAATGTTGAGTTATTAAATTTGACTCGGTGTGGAACCAAGAGCGGCGTGAAATATCAAGTCAGCCAGGCTTGAAATTGAAAACAAAATGGCATCAATGAGCAATAAAATTTTTCTCGCTATCGTCCATCCAAACAACGCAGAAATATTCATATTCATGTGCACCTTATGTTCCGCCTCCTAATGCTAAACAAATGTGAAAGAGTTATAAATTTTATCCATCTCGGCTGCTGTGCGGTCCGATTTTGTGTGGGATATGGTTGGCTGATGGTAGTACAGTTTTCGTAATAAAATTTGGTATAAGACAGCTCCAACTGAACTTTGTTCTTGGTTCCCACAAGAATAATGTTCGTCTGGTAGAGCAGAGCATACATATTTTCAATTATTAGATCTCAAAGTTTGTGAAAAGTATAGAGTTTTTAAGCCGTCGTGATGTTTGTTGATCCTCATTCTTGGTTTATTTTTCTGTGGTTTTATGCCCATCCAGCATTGATGGGATTTTTGGCTATGAGAAATTCAATAGTCTCATGATTTCCTACATATGTATGTACAGGAAAGTATTCCAAATAGTTGATAGAGATGGAATATATGGATGTATGTATAAGTTTTAAGTCAAATTTCTACACGTTGCTGAACGTGGACAGAGTTTTGAAGAACGAGTGCACATCCATAATGACGAATACCTCTCTTCGCTGTTATGCAACTCTGTGGGACACAATTCCTAATAAGTGTTATTTATAATAACAATGCGGAGTAAACTAAGAAATTGGAGCATGCATGAGCAATATATTTATTTACGACGAGTATGCGAAGAGGCAGGAAGTAGTGGTGGTCGATGCTATCTCACATGCCTCCATCCAGCCACCACAAACAATCGTTTTTCTCAAACATAACAGATGAGTCCTATCTAAAAATCTGAATGACTTCTAATTTAAGTTTAAGTACGAGACTTCCTACTTAGCTCAGACACACATTTCTCCAAAAACAGATCCCATCCATCCATGGATGGATCTAATTCTCACACTCTCGTCGTCTCTTGCACTGGTTTCATTCTCTTTTACGCTTTTTGCGGACAGGATTTATGAGTTTATGGTTTGAAATAACAAATCGTAAGGGATTAAAGAATGCCCCAAATATTTGAGAATCATATCACCACGACCATTAAGCTAAGAAGACACCCATCCATTCCTTCACCATTAGCTGCACTGCATTCGCTTAGCAAACATTGCTCGAAGAAGAAACCAAACTTATTGGATCTAAACTGAACGTTATTTGTGTTCTCTTAATTAAACAATTGCATGTGTCCTTGGGTGCAAGAAAGGAGTTTCTCTGCGCTGGCTGGCTGGCTTCATCCTCAATCACTATCATCACTCACGACTAAATAAATATCAGCTTCATAGCATATGCAAGTAAGTAGTGGAAGCGTGGAATTCATCAATTACACCAGCTAGCTCCTCGCTGTAATGGAAGAACAGCCAGGGCCACATCTTGATCACGAACTTTTCATTTTTATCGCATTCTCCATATTTCCTAGTAGCAAAAATCCAACACTTTTAAGGATGAGGCGCTAGCCCAGTAGTCAGATTTCTCTCGTACATACGTATCCACATTTTATCCTTCAAGTCTTAAAACTTGAATATGTATGCATGCACGCACAGACAGACGAATGATGGAACAAGCATCCCCATCCCCCACAATAAAAATGATGGCGAATGTGCGCACATTACTTTCCTGTCAACGCCATTCACCGACAAATTACACTGCTCGTTTCATCGCAATTTCCTCAAGAAGAGAGAGAGATGTGAAGTGATGGGAAGAGATGGGTCGCATGCAATTAGTTCACTACTGTTCCCAGTGTAAAAGATGCAGTTTCATTTCATCAGCATTATATTTTATCTCGGTTCGTTGCTTAACTTAACCATTAGAGATTTTTTGGAATGAGATCGTTAAGCATTTCAAAAGAGCAGAATGTGCTGATGTGAATATGAGTCGACATTATTATTTACGCGTAAAATTGAGAGACTCAAAAAGTTAACGATGATAAACAATTTCTTGGCGCAGTGCACGATTTGGTTGACATGTACAAAAAAAACCCAACCAACTGTTGATTGCCTATCCAGATTTTCTCATGTCTCATACCTGTCACGGTGAAAGCAGCTTCGTGGATTACGAGATTAGGCACGTCACTAAACTTGAGATACAGCTTCAACTTGTTCCCACTGTTGAAAATTGCGGAGAGAAAGTTTTGTTTCACGACAACCTTGGAACATCCTTTAATTTCCCAAGTCAATGACTCAAACTGCCTCCTCAGGAATCCAGCCTCGTTGAGATTCACAACCTGTATGCAAAAAAAAACATCAAAATTCAGAACTCATCTTGCATATCGGGTAATAAAATTCCTCAAACAAATGCCCATATTTGGACCATATTTGCCTCAAGAATCGTAATTACTTGGTTAGAATATTCGTTCTTTTGCTCTTACCTCATTCGGATCACGACATGTGCAAATAACTGAAGATAGTTTAGACGCCCGATTATTCAAACATGAGCATCCTGCTGGCAACTTGGAGCACTCGGTGACACCCCCGACGACCCAGTTGGTCGCATTTGCCTCATTTTCGCTGTCTCCTCCCACAAGACGGGCCTGACTTCCAGAAAGACTTACGTAGTCCAAGGCCACACTATTTTCAAACTTGACGACTGAACCTCCCACTCGGAGTAAAACACTGGGTCCGAGAACAATCAGGAGGAATGCTGTGTAGCAACTCGTCATCGCGAAGGTACCCAAATTTTGGGGCAGCATTTCGAACCAGAGGAGTCTTCTTCTCATTATCGTATGAAAAACGTGTATGCAGGCGATTTCACTTAATTACTGTTCTCTTCTTCTTCTTCTCCAAAGAATGTCTACAGTTCACTAGCTGTCTTCCATATTGTTCACTGAGGGTGTAGGTAGCAGTGGGTAGGTGAACGAGGAACTTTCTCGCACCACCTCTGATTAGTCATTAATATGCAATACCAAGCTAAGGCAGCACTTTTTTAAAGACACGACAATGACGATAGTTTAAAGCACAATATTCTCCTCCTCCTCCTCCTCCTCTGGAACTAGCAATAATAGTTCGATACTCGTTGTTCGGGTATCTTTCAACACTCCACGGAAACGTTTTTTCTTCTTGCCTTGACTACTACTACTAGGGAACAGACACGATACACTGTAAATACCATTACTTGGCGTCAACAGGAGTTGAATTGCAAACCGAGTGCTCATGTTTTCCTATTCATGCGCTGATTAAGACAATTACAAGTGGCGTTTGACACCACTGCCACCATGCACGATGAGACTGACTACTGAGACGACTCTACTGCTGAATGGTGACTCCGTTTCCTGGAGTGGTTGCCTCCTTCGTCCAACTGGAGGGGTTGGCAAGCTGCCAATTTTCTTGAAAAATGCAGAGAGAGCAATTCCAGTCAAAAATGGTTACATCCATTTCCTTTAGGCATCATGTGTAACTGACAGACAGGCTCCTTCACACTCGAAAATCGATTAGAAACCTGGAAGAAATGGTGAAATTTAGATTACATTAAGGAGATTCATGAGGACAATAACGTGAGTATGACTGCTGAGAGAATATCAGAGCACCAGATATCAGAACGGATGCATCCAGCAAGTAATTTGAAGGAAGTTTAACTGATATGAGATAATAATGAGTCTCCTGTGGATAACGTGCTTTGCTTTATGTTGCGTTATTCCATTAAGGAATTTTACCTATTTATCTACTTGAACATTTTTACTTGAGGTGCAAGTCTGGGTACCATTGGTCATATGATATGAATGAATTATAAATATTCAATCCGGTCCTTCTTTCATGAATACAATCGTATTCCTCCTCTTATCATCCTATTACATGTTAAGCCCAAATACAATCTGGTTTTAATTGTACTAAATGTATGACCATTTTGTGTGGCTGTTGAACAGAATGTCTCCAAGTTAGAAAATCCTGCGATAAAATCAATCCAAGTACCAGGATTATTATACACAAAACTGTAATTGTTTTCTAGAGAGAGAACATCAACAAACATCTGAATATTTATGGAAACCTTAAATTTTTTACATGGAACGAAACGACTTGTTGGCCCAGAATAAATGAGCGTTCCACGTAGGATGGATGGATAGAGAGGAAGTTCACCCAGAAAAAAATGTCAGTTAAACATAACAACTGAACTTGAGCAAGTATTTGTTCTGTTCAGAGCGTATCAAATTGTCAGCAATGATAAGAGCAATCTTCATTCCCACTAACTTTTGAGCATCTCATCTCAAATTGTTTTCTGAATGGGCTCATGTTTAGACTTAAACTTGGTACAACTCGAAACTTGACGAGACTAATGTCGTGCGCGTCCATTTTTTTAAACGCAAACTCTGCATATTTCCACGCAGGAAAATCGCATTTTGCAGTCAAGAATTTTTTCTCAGCAATTTGGATTGATGAGCAACCAATTGGATTAAACGTGCATCTCACGACTTTTGACACTGCACTGGTTGCTGTCTACTATTATTGCTGCTACTCTATTGTTTACCTTTTCGGCATGTTTGACAATTTTTTTAGAAATTCAGCTGCCTTCTGTTTCAAAGGCGAAATTTAAATAGCAATTGGTTACCCGATTTTCTCTTCTCTCTCTCCTTTACCATTGTTCAGTTTTGATAACAACCCTAAATTTTCTACCTTTCCTGCCAACAAATTTGACTCAATTTCACAAACGATTATCTACTTTTTTAAATTGCTCGCTGTTTCAAACCAACCCATTCGTGTCCTTTAGCATTAGCCGAGTGGTGTTGAAGGTCTATCGGTCAGTTTGTGAATTTAAGTTGGTATGCGACGACAAGGACTAAAAAATGTGTTGTTGCATGTATATTTTTTAGCGTAATTTCCAGCACGATACTTACACATCCGTTTGTAAATATGCCTGCAGAATCTTTGCATCTTCTCCGACAAGTATGTATAAAATGGAATAGAAAAACAAGGCGAGACTGTGATTTTGAGAATGACTTACACCAGTTTATTCCACGAAATAGTTTTATTCATGCAACAACACCTCATTGTCGAATCACAAGTGAGCTGGAAAGTCACAACAAGAACTAGTATCCAACCACGCAGTATTTTGCTGCGACGACTAATAAATAAAATTTATGTATTCCTTACTCTCAGATAAATACATGATGTGCATCCTCCCATTGATTCTTTCCCCAAAATTAATTGTAAATTCTTAACATGACGAGTAATTTCAAGCCAAACCCGACTTTTTACAAGTCAAGTAAGTATTTAGAAGAATGGATGTGTAATAAGTATTTGTCACCAGCAACGGCCATAACTTTTTTATATGAAATTTGAGAATGTCACGACATAAAAGTGAAACTGTGTACAATAACAACGCACAGGATGGATGATGATGAATGATGGACTGCTCAACTAATGCTGGACACTTTATGTTTTTTTTACTGCCACAAAAGAACAATACATAATCCGTGAATTAGTGACTCGTTTAAAGCATTGGAGAAATGAACGTGGAGGATGATGATGTGCTTATCGGTGAATACTTTTTGGCTTCCTTCTTCCTATTTATTTACTACGCGATCCCGTTTCGTCTTTATCTTTCATTGTTTTTCATTATGTACTTAAATTTTGACTCGTTATACGAATTTATTAGTCTTTTGTTTATGATAACAAGTCGCCACTGACTGTATAATATGTCATTAGCACCACAAAATGAGTCCTGACTATTGGACAGTAAGGAATAAATGATCGCAGGTTTAAATTGAATTTCACCCCGCTCCCAATGTAATCAAGTGGGCACGTGATTTTCGCGCGAAAATATCCTGCGATCATTTATTCCATAACGAGCAATAATCACTAATTTCTTGTCACCACAAATAATCTCACTTAAATATTTACTGTTGTGAAATGCGGTTTATCAGCTATTTTTTATGGAACGTTGTTTATTAATATTCGAGGCAAAGACAAATAAGAAGGTTTTGTGAGTACTGTAAGCAAGCGGGGTTATGTTAATGTTATACGGTAACTGGAGGAATGGTGGAAATTTCTCCTCTACTATCTAAATTTGGAATGATACATGAAGCCCGAAGAAATTTTATGACTCAACAACCAACCATATACTTAATAATACTTACGACTTGGTTACTTACTCCTTTATTGATTGTTCGGTTCAGGGATAATCATCCAATTTATTCATTTGGTTATTATTGCTGGCATTGGTGATGGTGATGGTGAATCCACAAATAAGTAAGCGACGGATCTGGACCCCTGATATCAATAAGTCTCTATTTACCACTCTCCCTCGTTCCATTCTTAATAAAGGATGGAGGGTGAGATCCACCAGTAGTAGTGAATTTAAGTACGTTCACATTTTAGTATTTCGTGTCCGACACAAGTGAAAAAATTCAAAATTTTTAGCTGGCAACTCTAACCACGACTAAATTTTTGTTGAAACACACCCTGCTCCTCTTGTTTTATTTCAGAAATAAAATATTTACTAGTGACGACGATGAGCAGTATTATTGCTGCCGCTGCTTCTGCATAAAATGCTGTTTGCTAAAACTTTGATTGGCACGACGTAACGCAAAAGCTCTTCACAACACGAGGATATGTATCTAACAACCGCACTTATTACTTCTTGAGAGACTTAAATAATAATACTCCACTACTGACAATTCCCCACCAACTACTGCTATTAACTCGACTCAGCATCTACTTTTCTACTGCTCAACGACAAGTTGAAAACCTCGTTTTTTGTTATGAAATTGAACAGGATGGATGAATGTTGGAAAGAGAGAGAGAGATGTTGTATTCATGTATGTATCCCCTTCACGTTGCGTTGCATGCAAGTTCTCGTACAGAAGAACTCTTATGGTACGAACAGAGTATCAACTTCAACTTCAACCCTCGTCGTCGTCGTCTCCCAAAGTCCCAGGCAATCGAAGTACGAATGGCAGAAAGAAATCCCTACATAACAACCCACCAACAAACCGTTTTCTCAGGCGAAGCAACTACTACTACACCAATCAGTTGTCATCAGTAAATCTAAGCACAGTTAGCTACACAAGGGTTTTCTCGACTTGAGCGTACTTTTTTTTAGATTCCTATTCTTCTTCTTCTTAAGGGATGGATTTTACTCTTGAGCTTAATATACCCACAAATGAACAAGTCTTACCATGTCCAATTGTACCACTGTCATTGGCCGGTTGAAACGTTTCGATAAGCTGGCGAACGAACGAACGACAGAACAAAATCTGCTTTAACCCCTCGCAACCCAAGTTTTGAGATGATGCGTTTTCCCTGTCCGAGTGGTATCAAAGATATTCAACTGCTCTAATAATGTGCAATCTCCGACTAGGGTTGCGTTGCTTATATGTCGTTGCGTGTAATGCAATTGGAAGTTCTATCCATGTTTCCATTTGGTACGCAGGCAGAGGATGGAACGAGGGTGAATTTTCTCATTCATGAGTTTCCACTCCCTCCCCCACGTTCAAGGTCCCTTATATTGCACCCTCCCTTCCTTGCTCACCTTTCATCTCGGCTACTTTTCACCTTCTCTCTTTGTTCGAAACGTTTACGGGAAAACTTTCTCATCAGGTTTGGAAAAGGTGATGGTGAGATTTTACATGTGTATGCATACGCACCAAGACTTAGCTCTCATTATTACACAAGTATTTATTTATCCTGCTAAAACAACACAATTTCTCTCCTGAAAAAGTGCATGGCTTGTAAAACTTCCACTATTACGTGTGCGTGTGGAGTGACATTACACAGCCGGACAGGAATCAGGAAACTGGCTTTGCTACATACGCACCTGTTCTCCACATAGATCAATAATGAGGGTGGATGGATAGATAGTTGGTGGTGAGAGAGATGAAATAAAATAAAATTCTTAAGGGATGAGGATTCTACGATCTAATCAAACAACACGAAATGAGAAACAAGTTCATATTTACGAAGGGCTCAAGAACTCCCTGCAGTACAAATGAACCCTGATTTATAATCTCTAGAAATTTTTTTCCTCTTCTGATCTCAAAGTAAATACACAGCCGTGAAAAGTTCCACATGCGAACAGACGTTTATTATTCACTTGCTACATGTTCCGTTCAAAATAGTGTTTTGGTTTCCAATATTTTTTTCCAGTTTACGTTTTCTTTTTGGGATCAGAGAAACCGTATGATTCACTAAATTCGTTATGCAATGAACAAAGTGCATGGGAAAGAGAGAGAGGTTTGGCATTTCGAGAGCGAGCTTTTGTCCAAATTTTCAGTGTGCGTATTCAACATAAATTGTGCGTATATAGGGGATCGTCTTCTGTTTCGGTAAGGGTCTCAAATTTCCTGGCTCTTTTGTGTCAGTCAGTTGGTCCTTTTACGTGCGTATTATACACTTGTCCTCATGATGACGAGAGGTCTTTTGCGTTGCTCAAGTCATTTACATTTCGTATTGGGAGTTTTTTGGGCACAAATGCGGCACATACGTATGTATGTCCATGTATACATGATAATATACCCGGGAGATCGAGACTGGCATGCCCAATTAACTGAAGCTTCTTATGTGGCTATTCAACATGTATGGACAAAGAAAGAAGTGTCCGAACGTAACCTTTTAATGGCGAGGGGTCGGTCGGTCGGTCGGATCGGGATGGATGTAAACGAAAGAAAAGTCGTTCTCGAGTACTGACTGGCGGCGTCCAAAATGAGTTCACATTTCTACAAGAAGAAGTCGATTCTGGGTATTTTTTGGTTTTACTCATTTTTCTCACTTGCTTCGGTTACAAGCAAAAGAACGACGCAGCCAAGTGTACGTAAAGAGAGCTTCATCAACTTGTCAGTAAAGGACCCCAATATGGATGCATTTCCTTCCAGAGAGACAGAACGAATATGCGTATATATTGATGTGCATGCATAGGATGTAAAAACTTGACGAGTACATAAACAATTCTCCTTTACATAGTTTTGGTTTGTCTCAAGCTGCTTTTCATATGTGCAAAATGCTTCAAGTCCTTATGAATTTTTGACATCTGTGCATCTAATGATTTCCCTGTTGTCCTAAACTCATTTAGTCATAAAATGCAATTATACCACAATGCCGGCACTGTCAGTTGGGAAAATATAGCACTTTGGCAGCTATTTATCTGCAATATATGCGGAAATCAGTTACATTAAATGATTATTTTACTACTTTGCAACAATATAAATATATTTGCCGTACCTCAAATGAAGCAATTACATAAAAAAACCTGTTGCATATACAAATCAGTTTTACACATATGAAACTCTTGATCAGTTCATGTGATCCAGGATCACTTGGAATTATGCATGTTTATAATGATAACGTAGGTTTAGATGTTAGCCTATGTTCTCCCGGACCAGCATCGAATGAAAAAAAATGAATCTTTGAATTTAATTGCCCTGGGTTAGTCAACAAGTAGGCAATGACTCGTCATCATCGTCTCGCTTCTTGTGGTCTGGATTTCCACCAGTTATTAAATAGCTTATTCTTTATTTCACTCGGCTTAAATTTCTAGACCAGCAGCAGCAGCAGCAGCATAATTTCTTGCTCATCAGCGAGAGAGACTGACCAAGCAACGACATAAAGCAAAACCTGCTGCTGCAAACTCCTGACTTGACTGGGCCTTGTTCAAATCTCAGTGAGTTAATATGTCAGAGTCAGTGAGATACGATGAGGGTAAAAACTGGATCTGAACACAAATGCTCATTTTGCAGTGGATGATTAACGTATAAACATACACGATACGGATAACCAATACAAATACAAATGATGATCCCAGCAACAAAGCCATGTGTGCTCTTTGTAGGTGAATTAAATGACTATAGAGACAAAACTGGTCAGAATACTGGGATGAGATGAGCAGTCGGATGAATCCAAACTGCAGTGTAATGAGATGAGACAAAGACCAGAGTGTGGACAATTCCTTTTTTAGAGCTTGGTTTCTAGAGGTTTTCGACCCAATTACAAAATTGGATGAAAACTAGACCCATCGAGATGTCACGTTCATTCTGGATTTTTATAGAGAATATTGATTTTCCTCCATCTCGCATTCTGCACTCATGCCTGGCAATGATCCACTCCCAATCTAAACCACCAATAGCGTTATCGTCATAAACCAGAAACCAGAAAGCCACCAACTTGAGGTTTATATTACACAAACTATAAAAATAATGTCGTCGCTGGTGGTGTCAGTTTCATTCATATGTGTCGTGGAGGTAGAGGGTACCTGGTCAGTGTGAACTCTTAGTCATGCTACACGCCCAATTACAACAGCGAAGCGATGGTGACCAGACCAGACTTGAATGAAAAACGTGGAAACTCTGATGCCCAGCCAAAGACCCTGCACCAATTTCATTTCAATTTAAGCAAACTAAAGGACAAAGCGAAAGATTAAAGCGAGAAAACCACAACTTCTTCACTTTCATGATTAGACCACAGCACGGTAGACATTTTTTATATGTGCATTTATTACACATATAAAACATATAGTAAACAGTCCGCATAGTTTTACTGTCTTGACGATAGCAAGGTATATATTCCTCCATTGAGCTCGTCGGTTGCAACAAATGATACTCTTCAAGGTTCACTCACTCATCTTTCTGTTCAGCGATGTGGTTGCACAAATTTTAAATTGCGTTGCGTTGCATCACAAAAATTAACAAAAACATTGGAACGATCAAAGAAAAAAACATGATACTAAATATCTTGGACGGACATATTTTTTCATGACGGTCGGTGATGGATATGTAATAATATGCACATGTGCATCTTATGTTGTTGAGGAATTAAGTACAATGCTCGGGCTCCTAGCGTTAGATATCGTCGGTGGCATCACATGTGTGTTATGCCATAACATGGTTCGCATCACATGGCAAAGTTTTGCGAGTGAAATTGAAATCAGGATTGACAAGCGTTTAATCGAGCTTATTAAAATAAAATGGCTACAAGAACAAATTATACAATAAATTTTGCAAGCTCTGTACGAAATGCAATTAATATACAGAGATTGTGTTTTTATGCATATTTTGTATTTTCATGCTTTAACCACGATATTATTTATGGGATGATTTTTTTAAATGAATTTGGAGTCAATAACCATATCACGTGTGTTTCTTTTGTCGTTTGAATGTACAGAGAGAAGTCGAAGGAACGTGAGTTTGTGGCCAATTTTGTTGCTCGAACGCCCAATACGAGCGGAGAAAGGCTCGCCAATTGGTTGCAACCGGAATCATTCATCGACCCCAAGAAATGCGAGGTACGTGTTTTAAATAAAATGAAAACAATGGAAATTTATGCAAGAGCTTAACCTCACTGTTGTCTTATGTCTTGCTGTCTAATCCTAAGTGCACTGTGCACCATGCCGCGATTAGAAAATAATTTGATACCACTACACACTTTACGCAATCGATTACTTATACTTTACTTAACTAACCACCGTAAACAGTTCGTAGCGAGACAGAGATGATATGTGTGTGCGTATGTACATACTTTCGAAAATGATGCGATTTGGTTCTGCTTTGTCTGTACAGATTAGCGTTCCACAAGAAAGTATCAAGCGAGGAGTGCAAACTAGCTTTACGATCGTGACCAGGGACCAATACTTTGAACTTGTTGTAGCTCATCATTTACAGGTAAATAGGCAAAGAAATTTGGAATGCAGATAATATTTATTAAGAAATTTTACATGTAATTATTTAGGTGGAAGTGAAAGCAGTTCCATTGCTGTCCTCAAATGAAGCTGGAAATATTGATGGGAGCCCAAACAATTCGGACCACAGCCCGATTTTAGACGCGTCGAAATTTCCAACTAGTGGTTCTCATCGTGTCAGCTTTTCATACCCGAAAGGATACTTTTCCCAGAACCCGTCCGGTTTGGAGAACTTGATTGGAACTTTGGTGGTTCCGTACCAGGTCACTGTGAAGGATAAGATGCGATATCATTCCATTACAATGATGAAGGTAGATCAAGTGATCGGTGTAAATATGTTCAACAAAATGGATGATATATAGCTTAATATACATTTTCTTCGGATCTAGGACTATGAAAACGTGTCGTTTGAAGAGCTCAGAGTGTTGTCACCATTTCAGAGGTTCAGATCTTCAGAGTCCATGTTGGTGAGGCAAAGTAACAGTGGAAATTATACCGCCACCTGGACTCCATCTTGCACAGGTCCCTATCAAATTGCTGTCACGGTTGATGGCTACTCCATTTCTGAAGTATTCTAACTAACAACTACATATTTATTAAGATGAAACCTAAGTTATCATTACTTTATTCAATGAATTGTTATGTTACCTCCTAGACGTGCGTAGTAAAAGTGGAGGAAAGTTCGGAAAAGACCTTTTCAAGTAGAAAGTCTGCTGAAGGAACTGCAGAAGTTCCGGGGCAGCAGTTTCTCAAAAAGAGAAAATTCAAGACCACCAACTCTGCCGGATTAAGGATTCGTGCGCATACGTCCCTTCAAAGCGAGCAGATTGGGGTCATTCCGGTCAACGGAGTGATCGAGTTCACCCAGGAGATTCACAATGACGACGGAATTTGGGTGAAACTGGACGAGTCCTCGCTTTACGCCTATTGCGAAGGGACTCAGCCACAGTCGAGGAACTTCCGGGTGGAAGGTTGGTGTTTGCAGTACAATCAGCACGTGGGAAGGACGCTCCTTTTCCCCATCGAAGCCCCCAAACGTCTGTCCAACAATCGGTTCAATGAGAAGAATCTCGTCAGTTTGCGGAGACTAAACGACCAGAATATGCCATATGTAGAAAGGTATTTAAATATATTTTCAATGACATGAAAATGTAATTACATTCTATAAACAAATAATTAATGGGCTGCATTGCAGTTCAAAAATACTCAGACTTAATGGAAGCCCAGGAATCTATCAAGTCGTCAAATGTGGAGTCTCTGGTCATAATATACGTAGCAGGCCTTGTCTTCGCTCACCTCCAGTTGGAATTTTGGTCATGGGTTCAAAATTTACGGTCATTGATGAGGTAAAAATTTTAAACTTTCGAAATTACTTTGTCGAATTTTTCACATTTGGATCTTTTCTTAGTGTTTCAACAATGAGGGATTGTGGGTAAAACTGGATTCTTCGAGTCAGAGGAAATTTTGCTTCACTTCAGAAGGTGAAGCTTGGTCTCTCGCAGTGGGACATGGCGATGTTACATATCTACGACATTTGGGTACTTACTAGACCTTGTACAAAATTACATGAAGGCATTTACTCATACTTTACTTACATATTTCAAACTACTTCTACTTTCAGACTCGTCTGTAAATGAAAAAGGTTACGATTTCTCCATCGCTTCCCAATACCCACAAAACATTTTTCAAAACGTTTCCCCACCAGCCGCTTTCACTGGGCCAACCGATGTCCCGATGAACATTGACTTTCAGCACGCCGTCCCACAACTGCCTCCAACATCTCTCAACGGGGGTGATAAGGACAAAATTAACGAGTTGATCAAATCAGCACCGATAACTCAACCACTGAAAGAAACCGACTCTGCTCCAGTAACTTGTGCCTCAACACCCATGGTTTCTTCCCCATCGTCCACCTCCGTTTCGATGACTTCATCCCAGAAATCTACCACGGGTGGTGGGCGTGCAGGAAGTCGAAGAGGTAGCGAAACCACGGTTGCAGAACCTCCTCCAAAACCTGTCCAGCGTAAATCATCCACACCGCTTGGAGCTCTTCAGAAATGGCTTCAGATTGGGACTGAAAGTCGACAGAATTCTTCCACGTCGTCCTCGTCCGGTATGAAGCAGCAGGCCTCGAACGTGATGGAAGTCTCAAAGTCGCTGGTGAAAGAGAGAATTGGCGTATTTGGTGGGGGTGACAAAGGAAAACAGCAACCAACCGTCGTGCCTCCTCCACCACTTCCACCAACAGTTGCATCCTCTGCGACTCAAACTTCTCCAGAAGAACAAATGTCCCCCTTCGGCACTACGGGTCACTTTAACATCGGATCCACACCAAACGCCGCTCCTCCATCGGGATTTCAACCCGCTGGGGGCGACAAAGGAGTAAAACCTTCGCCCAAACCGGAGAGAAAGAAACGCGGAACAACGAGGTCACGAACATCGTACAGAGACAGAGAACGACTTCGATCCCCACCACGAGCATTTGAGTCAAATACTTCATTTGGCAGTACTCCCATGGTGGATGTGTCCCACAAGGTGGCCATCGGACCAGGACAAGCGCACAGTCTGAGAGCCGTCTTTGGAGCTATTTTGTCCCACAGTGAGATTATTCACGACGCAATGGCGTCTGCCTCGTACTTGAGATTTATCACGAAAGAAACCGACGGCGGGAGGAGTGATGCTGAGGGGGTCGAAGTTTCTTCGAGTGAGGTCGATGAAGGGGTGACTGTCGTTGGAAAAGGTGACGAGGAAAATGAAGAAAGTGCTGGTGGTGGTGGTGGTAGTGATCGTCAACAGGACGCCAATTTAGACAACAAGTCGCTGGAGGTTACTACTGCTGTCGTAATGAGGAAGAAGCACGGATCTCCGGCCAAGAGTAAATGTTGGCGTCACTCTTTAGAGGTCACCACTCCATCTCGATATCTTCGTGATAACCCCAACATCAAGTTGGCCCCGCTCGACTCTTCTCCCGTGGTCTCGGAACCCAACATTATAAACAACCAAAATCCCACAATCACTCCTGAAAAGCCTGTGATTCCAGAACCTGTTGAAAATAAAGGTCTTTCAGATTCCAATGAACAACTTCCATTCGCAATGATTGCACTGGGGGAAATTTGGAAGTACGTAAAGTCCAGTTGCGTCGATTTCATTGTTCATGAAAGGGTTACTTCGACCCCTTTGGAACACAAAATAGCATCTGGAAAGGAGTCCGGCAGCAAAAAGTGCAGTCATCATTACGGAAGTCTAAAACTTCGGTCAGATCGATCCTATCTCCAAGTTAGTGGGCGTACATTCTTAATTGGTGAGTAGTATCTCAAGTCATCTCATAAGTTGTATGTATCAAAATGAATACTTACGTATTTCATAATCAAATTGTAATCTAGATGACGACACGGAATTTAAGGATGATATGTTAAGATGCGAATTATGTTTGGCTGGATTTAAGACGAAGGCTAAAACAAAGTTAGTCTTCCTAATAAATTAAATGATTAAATACCGTAGCATAGTTGAAGACGTGGAAATATTTAATCGTATTTTTTTTGTACAGGAAAGCCCACTTCGGATTAACTTCTCTTTGCGAAAACTGCTCAGAACGGCAACTTAAAATTAAAAAGCGATCTCATGCGTCGAAGTCATCCGCAAATGACCCAAAGCACAAATATGCATCTCAGGATTCACGACAATACTCGTACAGCTCATTGCTTCACAATGCTCTGTTTTTACTGCAAATGACCAACGGAGTTCCTGAAGTTCCTATTCAAGTTCATACGGATACAACTGTTGTGCAAAAAACGGGGTTTAGCTGCTTCAAAGCACTAGGAATTTCTGAAAGTCAAGTTATGGATGAAGACGACTCATTTTTTGAAATAAAATCCCCAGTTGCGATGAGAGACTTTGCAGATGTGGTTATCCTGAAAGAAAAACGGTCAATACTTGCCGCGTCCACCAGCTTTGCGGACAATGAATGGGATCCGTTTACGAATAAGAGGCGAAAAACTAGTAACGGAGATCAAATATCTGGTAATTCAGTATTATCGATTAAGATTTAATTATGGATAAACACCAGTGACCATTATTTCACACAATGTGCTTTATTTATTTGTAGATGACAATTTAGGATACACGTTACTCAACTATCCGTCTGCACCACTTCAAAAATTACTTAAAGTTTCCATCTCCGGCGCCCAATTGCCAGAAACACAAGCTATCAGAAAGATGTGTAACAATGTGTTGGCATTTGTAACAGAGCGTCATGATCTCAATGGTCTGAAGTTATTTCTGTTTCAAGCAATTAGAAAAAATACCTGCAGGTCTTATGGGATGCAGGTACATATGCGACTGCCTCATTTTACACAATTTTTAATTAATTAAACTTATATTCATAACGCGTAATCATGTCTGATCAGATGCTGGCGTGGCTTTTGAGAAATGTGAGCCAACCCATGGCACTTCATGACATTTTGTGGTGGTACGCGTCCTCATTGGAGTTCAAGGGAGAAGAAATGAGCAATATTGGCGTAGTAAGTTGGGGAAAATAATTTCTAGCACTTTATTTCTTGGAGTTGTGAGTAAAAAAAATGAAATTAATCGCAGGTGGGTCTGGACAATGGGTGGTGGCAAATGAGACTTCACCCTCTCGTCGAATCGCCATCCTCAATTTTCCCAGTGTTGTCGGATTCATTTTACTACTTGATGCAAACCATTGCAGATATCATGCCATTTCTTCCAGCTGGGTCACCGTTGCTTGAAATGGCAGTGAAATGCTGGGGTGTCTGCTTTTCCAGAAAAGACCATCGATTTTTGCATCGGTAAGTAGTAGTCACATTTGATAAAGAACAACGTGTTTAGAAAACTTTTTTCACGTTTTGTTTTATAGGAGCAAAATATTTCGAAACTTGAGTAAAATCATGTCGCAATTCGACGGAGAAAGTGATTGGTCAAAGAGCAGCACAATGTTTCACATGGATAGCTCGGAAACTCAACAAAGCGTCCAAGTGACCACGTGCCTGCATGACTTGACCCACGCCATGGAAGTAAAGGTGTCGAGCAGAATAGCCTTGTGTTCCAGCTTGATTGACGATTCAACTGAAACCTTCTGGGAATCTGGGGACGAGGATCGGTAATGTAGCAATTTTCAATTTTGGGTCAATTTGTATTAAATATTCTAACTCTAAATAATTTATTTTGTGTGCAGAAACCGGACTAAAAATATTACTATTGTGTCCACTTGTGAGTCTGTCATCAATGTTGTTGCAATCCATGTTGACAACGGAAGAGATACTCAGGTTGGGTGTAGCGCATTAAATGTGTGATAATTAAGCCATTAAATTTTTAACCAACAATTTTTATCCCTGTTGCAGTACAAAGTAGCATCAGTTGTTGTGAAGGCTGGTCTTCATCCAGATGAATGTTTAAAAATTGGACAAGTGGAACTAGATTCTAAGCATTGTGGATGGAGTTGGTTTTCAGTGACGCGTATGACTTTGAATTAATTAATTAATTTGCAACAGCGATATGCAGATTTAAAACTTTGTGCATTTTCCAAAAATTTCAGAGGAGGGTGTCAAAGTGATCAAAATAGAGATGAAAGGTCCTGATAATACGCTGCGAATTAGACAACTGAAAATTCTCGGGATCCTTAACAGAGATCCAAATCATCCTGGACCTTCAGAGAAACCGAGCGACAAACTGAACGAATTGACACCAATGGTCGCCCAAAGAAAGTGCGAAAATGAGACGCTTCGTATATTTCGTTTATTGTCGTCGGAAGTTTTTGGGAAATTTTTGTACGGAATGAGACGTGGAGAAAGCGATGTGGATGGAAACGATTTGCAGGAACATGTCGTGGGCATACTTTTCAGTCGAAATAAACTTACGCATCTTCAGAAACAAGTATGAATTACTTATTTTTGTGGTATTTTTGATAATTATCCGTCACTAGTGAGTTACTTTATATGCGTACGTTCCTTTTCAGGTCTGCTCACACATTGTTTCAACAATTCACCGAGAATCCGTCAAAATTAAGGAAGACATGGAATCCCAGTTGACGGGGTCCGTGTTGGAGGCAACCAACGAAAATATAAGATTTATTAATGCAGGTTAGTTATCTAACTTTTAAATATTTAATAGTTTTTACCCGAAGAATTAAATTTACAAATTTAAATAATTTCCAGAAAAACCAAGGATTACAGATCGATACTGCTTTGAAATGTTGACCTTGGTGCTGGCATTGGCTGACCATAAACTTGGGCGTTCGTATCTTTCTCATCAAAGCAATTTGATTCAAGATCTGATGCAATTGTTCCATTCAGGGACTCCTCGGATACAAAGACAGGTATTACAGCTAACATTTAGTATTTTTTGGTAGAGTAACTAATGTTAAATTATCCTCTCCTTCTCATAATTTAAGGTCCTCGCTGTAATAAAAAAGATCCTCCCGGAAATTAAACCCGAAAATTTTCTCGCCATTGTGAGCGGTGGAAATGACGGGTCTTCCATGAAAACAAAATTGGGAGTTTTGGACATGTTCTTCGGGTGTATTTTGAAAGCGTTGCAGGTGAAAGTTCGTGGATCACAAGATGGAAACCGGTCAGCGAAAAACATTAGCATCACGGACATCCTAATCGCGGAAGAACTCCCTCCGCACTACTGGTTTTTCCGTGGTGATGGGGACTTGCAGCTGGCGAGTTCTGTCGTGACCTTTATAAAGGACATTTCAGATGTATGTGTATCATACTTAAAAAAATGGATCCGCTTAATTATCAACCTTTGAAGTAGCAGAATTAACAATTTATGCAAATTATTTAGGAGTCATTTTCATCGTTGTGGGCTTCCGTGGCGAAAACTGCAATTGCCGACGCAGTTCTATACTTGACTCGGGTGGATGAAAAATGCAGGAGGGCGTCAGAATGTCTCAACTCACCTCGCTTTTGGATATCACTGGCTGCCCTCAGCACCCTGCATCCTGACCACTCAAAGCTCTTATCTTCCCCGGTCTTCATGAATGGAAATAGTGGCCGAGTAATAATAACAATAATAATTCAATCACTTGTTTGGCACAGAATTTCCAATATCAAATAAATTATTTCAGACAAAATGCATAAATCACGACGACGGGGAAACTCTGGCCGTACTCCAGTGTAACGATTGCGGTGACCTGTGTACCGAATGCGACCGTATTCTTCACCTTCCAAAGAAGACCTGGACGCATGTCAGAAAGGTATCACAGCGTACATACATAATTTTAACTGCTTTATGTTGTTCGTTTAAAGCAGAAGTAACCAAATTTTTGCGATGGTAGGTTTGCAAGGAGGAAGAAGAGTCGATAAAGGTGGATCTACACGAGGGTTGTGGTCGTATCAAACTATTTTGGTTGATGGCTCTGGTCGACTCGTCAACTCTGAAAGCATTAGTCGAATTCCGAAATGGAATCCCAAAGACTATGTCTGATTCCGGCACCACGATTGCGACTACGGGCAGATGCCGTTTTTGTAATAAAGTTGGTAATACTGGACCCTTAGCTTTGGGGAATGTTTGCGGCGATGTCGAATGTCAGGTGAAAGAAAAGCTCCTTCCAAATCTGTGCTTTTTTAAAATTAAATACTTGAATAATCCAACGTGACATTTTGTGTTGACAGGAATACGCGAAAATTGCCTGTGATAGAATTTTGGAATGCACACATCTTTGCGGAGGAGTGCGAAATGAGGTTAAATGTCTTCCCTGTTTGCAAGGATGCTCCGACAAATTGGGCACAATTTTGAAACAAGACGGGGATGACATGTGCATGATTTGTTTTACGGACGCTCTCTCCTTTGCACCCGCGATACAAGTAAAGCTTTTGTTTGTGCATGAGAATAAATTCTGTGTTTATTCAGGGCTTAAAAGTCTCTTATAATTTGCTCTGAAATGTTCTAGCTGTCCTGTGGGCACGTTTTCCATTACCAATGCTGCAGATCAATCCTTGAGAATCGTTGGGCTGGGCCACGAATTGCGTTCTCATTTTCATTCTGTCCTATTTGCAAGGTGAGTTAAATAAATAAAATTGCAAACAATACGTAGTAATCCTACTACATTTACTACTATTTGCGCAGCTTCAAATGTTCCACGAGCTTTTGAACGATGTCCTACAACCGATCCGAGAATTATTTGAAGATGTCCGGCGAAAGGCTTTGATGCGACTGGAATACGAAGGATTGAACCAAGCGGACGAAATTGCTTCACCTGGTGGAAGATATTACCAAGACCCGGCTGGATTCTCCATGGAACGATATGCGTACTACGTGTGCTTCAAGTGCAAAAAAGTAAGATACGAGTTTGACCTCTTAAATTAACACGGGTCGACTCACCTTACATGATAATAATTTAAAATAAATTTAGCCCTACTTTGGAGGAGAAGCTCGTTGTGATGTCGACCTGCAGTTGGACTTTGATCCAACCGAACTTTTGTGTGGGGCCTGCAGTGACGTGTCTCAGGCTCAACTCTGTCCAAAACATGGGACGGACTATTTAGAGTACAAATGTCGTTATTGCTGCTCCGTAGCTGTTTTCTTCTGCTTTGGAACCACACATTTCTGCAACGGATGCCACGACGACTTTCAAAGGATTACGGCAATCCCCAAACATCAATTACCACAATGTCCAGCGGGTAATTCTTATAAAGCGAATAATAAATATTAACGCTATAATGTATTTATAATGTATCCCAATGTTTGCGTAATGCAGGACCACGAGCACGACAGACCGAAGGTGAAGAATGTCCTCTACATGTTTCACATCCCGGAACAGGGGAAGAGTTTGCCCTCGGGTGTGGAATTTGTCGAAATGCTCACACGTTTTAAATATGTTCGGAACTATTTCCATGTAAATGTTACACAAACCTTTTCATCGTAATGCGCGATCAAAATATAAGTTTTTAAAATTGTTTTATATTTAAAATAAAATGCCATATTATTATTTGTTGAAAATATCCATGAAAAAATGCAATAAATGATTGTTATACTCATTCCAAATATGTATATATGCAGAAATTACTTGTACTCATTTCCGGGGCATTTGAAGATGTCGTATGAAATTTCGTCAAGAAATGGCACATTAACGAATTAAATTTTGCACTAGTACTTGCACGGTTTATTATCAACTATCAAATCTTGCATTCAAGTACAACAGAGATCATTTCCAAACATTGCATTCTTCAAGAATTTGCGTTTACGTACGTACGTAGTTCCGTTTCCAAAAGATGATATGACTTGTGTTATAATAACAATCGAATCCGTCTTTCCACCTCCTCCTTTCTCGTACATACATACATATTGAATATGGGCTAATAAGTTCTCTATGTATCATTATACGTATAACGATGAGTGTGGGTTATTAATACAGGTTCAAGATCTATATGGATCCAACAACTTTGTATTGAACGTCTTATTAACTGTTGTTACATAAATGCTTAATTTTATAATGTAATTCATAGTTAAGTTATCAATTTATATTAAAATAAAACATCACATTTCATCAAATCTACTGATCATCCCATTTAAAAATGAGGAAATTTCTCTAATACTCCCACACGGAATGGATGGACACATATTAATTAATATATTTTTCCAACGAAAAGACAAACTTTTACCCCGTTTTCGTCCTGAAAATCTATTCATAAAAAATCCAGCAGTCATTTTCCTCTTTCATGCGTATGACATACATAAGAGAAAATGACGACTATGCAGTTTCAAAAATTATTTCATCACAAAATTTCATCGTTTCTGTCGGATTTTTATTTCTTCTTTCAGAATTGTCGCTATTTGTTAAACTAATAATATCTCGTTTTCGGTTAAAGTTATTACTGCTCTAAATTTTTGACATCAATTATACTAATACCCCGAATACGATTCCTCTCTCTCTCTCTGGTCAACTTACTGTAATCCTCTGATAACCTTCTCTTATCATCAATATTTTAAATTATATGCACTATTCGTAAAATAGTCGACAATGATTTTGTTAAATAGTTGAACAGACACTCTTCCTATTCTAGTGTTTTTTTATCTAAGGTACAACTACACATTACTTTTGATTGTGCAATAAGATAACTGAGTTCAGGAGTCAGTTCTTAAACGTATATGTAGATATATGGCGGAATCTCATCAGATTGGCATGTTTTAGTTAGTGGTTTATCTAATACAGCTTAAATTCGATTATACTTATTAATTTTTAATTTCATTATAACTTTTCTAATTAAAGATGGACAATGAGATTATCTCGACACATTTATATACCCCTCTTCTTTCACTCCAAAAAGTTTCTCTTAATCTCAAAAAAGCCCATATAGCAAAAGTTATCTGAAAAGTTCCCTCTTTCTTGGTTACAGAACTCTGTCACCATCATCGTCATCTCGCGTCTGCATCATATTGTCGCATCCTTGGTTCAGCTGATAAATCGTAATATACACACATCGTTACATAAATATAAAGTTTAAATCAAGCGATTTTTCAAACTTGGAAACTTGTAAATATATAAAATTATGTAAAGAAAGTTTTGTGAGAAGGCGTTTCGAGTAAAATAAAATAAAAAACCAAGATATATAAAATGACGTACAAAAAACTGTGCTCAATAATAAAAAGTCAAGACGGGAAGACGTACTCCTGCAACTGTCAACGACGACGACGACGACGACTTAGGAAATAATATACTAATTCGGTTCAAAGTCATCCGAATAATGAATTTCGAATTGGCTGTTCATAAGAGTTGAGTGATGACTGGATACATTAATTTCACATGTTCGGCTCCCTTAATGGGGAGTCGATGGTACATGAAATGTAGCACCAAATGGGGGACCGATGGGAAATCCTGCTCCCCCAGACTAAAGCTGCCCAAAGAGTTTGGCTCTATTCGGACGTGGATGTAGCCCCTCGCACTTCTGAAATTTAAAACAATGCCACGTTAAGTACAGGATTTGGATACATGGCACATATATATTTTTCAAAAAATATGTGCCAAGATAACGCCCATAGGGATGGATAAGGAGATGGGTGATTAGGTGGTGGTGGTGATGAAAAATTACTAACTAATCATCCGTTAGTTATTATTATGCAGATGCGTCAAATTGCAAGATCTTTTGAGAGGATTATGAGCAAGAGGGTGTGTTTCTGATTGCTCTGCATCATTGAACTTGTATCGCTTAATTGCACCAAATTATTGAGTAATGTTTCTGGGAGAGTGCCAAAATCTTGAAAGTGTGAAATTATACAGTGCAAACTATCTCTAATGGTCACAATAAGTCTAGATTTAAATGGAAAACTGCCTCGATATGGTGAGAGATGAAGTGTTGTGAAGTAATTTAATGGGGTTAATTTTCGCATGGGTACATTTCATGCAATCAAAATTTGTCCCTCTCAAATAGGGAAGAGGTGACGATACTCAACGCCCATGACTAAACGAGTGAACGAGAGGAGGAAGAAAAGATTTGCAATTGCATGCAGGTGTCTGGTTGGGTATGAAGCAACATTTTTCTGAATTGACAACTTGATTTAGATGCTCCAAACTCTCACTTCCATAAATTGTGGGGCTGCACGAGAGAGGAAAAGAAAGAGCTAGGAGAAGAACACTCTTTTAATGATGCCAGGACGACACACGGGGAAAAGTTACTGACAAACCGGCCACTGGGAAATATAACAACTCGCCACGAAACTGGTGAAGAGAGGAAGAAGACCATGTTTGCGTGTCGGGATATATATTGCGCTTTCATGACATGAAAAAGTTAAACTTTGTTCAAGACTTTCGAAGAGGAGAGGTTCACAAAATTTATTTCGAGTTCAATCAACTGCTTGGATAAAGAATTAACTAGTCCAATCTGCTGAAAGCCACATGAAAAGTTAAAAAAATTCTTGAGAAACATTTTTGCAAAATGTTTCTTTAGCCAAAATCTAGTTAATTAAGAAGGAAATTGGAGTTGTGTGTTTGTATAAGAGAATTACTCTGGCGCAGTTATGTATGTTTTGCCTGGTAAATCATAAACTCAATCTAAATCCCGAATGGACTACTGCGTATGTACATATATAAGATTTAGAGGACCGGATTTAGCGGATTAGGTTCTTGCCGAACCCACCACTACCTCGACACTTTTACGTTATTCTAGCAGATTTGGACCCAGAGATAAATATGAAAAGTTTTGCAGAAGCGAATATGTACTTACTTGAGAGAGAGCGAATATCGGTTGAAGGAGGAACTTTCACAGTTTCTGACGAGAAAGGAGCCTTCCTTTGTAGCTTTGAGAATTGCCTCGGCCTCGCAACGAGTAATGGCTCCTGTTATGGAAAAAATATCTTAAATTGAATCAAATAGGCAACTCACAGCGAGGAAATTTTGCTACGCTATCATGCTAAATATTATATTGCTACTAATATTTGATGCTGTTACGTTAAGAAAATGCCTTACCGTGGAACCATTCTTGTCCTTCTAGCTCGATACTGGGGTCAATCTCATATCGGTTGGAAGGAGTGTTGTTCCGTGCATTGCCAAAGTCCAACCTCATTCGACACCTATCTGGCTTTGGTGGAGGTTGGGGAGGTTGTTCTTCCACTTCATGGACTTGCACGGAGGTGACATTTGTCATCCAAGGTAGCTTGAGTTTTGTAGGGACTAGCTCTGTCACGTTGAGTCTGGGGTCCTCGTAATACTCGTCCTGCATCATCCCGTTATCGGTTAAGTTAAGCTGAAGATTATGCACTCGGCTGCATCGCCCACTGTCGCCGCCGCCACTAGATTTCTCCATTGAAGAATCACCGGTCACTCTTAAGTCTGAGCTTCCACGGATATGTGTTCTTGACGTATACTGAAAGTTTGAGTCATCAAAGCTCCTCCGTTCATTGTCGGACGAAGAAAATTGCCCACTTTCACTTTGCGTATTTCCCGAACAATCTAAAGAAATGCCAGAGTCTGCCAGGAGAGCCAGTCTTCTGCGAATTTTAGGCATGTCCCAGGGAACATTTGTCAGCTCGGCCGTGTTGATTATCTGATTGTGATGGTGGTGATGATGATGATGGTGATGACCTGGCCAAGGTTTTTCGAGATGGTGGCTTTGATGATGTGACTGATGTTCACTCACAGCACTACCCACACCACCCGAAGATGAAGTTTGATGCTGAGCAGAAATGGACTCCAAAGGACTTTTATCCGAAATTGGAGACAATAACTTACAGTTTCCTCCTCCCCGGCCAAAAGCCCCACCACAATTATGGCTCCCTCCACCACCACCCCGGTTATGACCTCCGAAATGACGCGAGAAAGAGTGTAAGTCCTCACTTTTCGTGGAGTCAATAGATTCTAGAGAACTCACAGAGTTGTCCTTTAGCATTGTAAGCAGTAACCGCTTGTCAGACGGTCGGCAGGAAGAGAGGGACGCAGATGTCGACGGACTAGAGGAAGAGCAGGAAGAACTACCATTACTATTATTATTGTTGTTGGCATATTTCTTTTGTGGCAAGGGCTCGGAAAGTGGCATATTTGGCTTTGGCTTCTTATCAGATAAAGGACTACTGTTTGTCGTAGTAGATCCACTTATATGATGCTGCGGTACTGAACAATGGCTTTGTTGACTGTGACTGTTACTATTTTGTTGACGATACGACATGGATGGATCTGATTCTAATCGAGAAAGAGATGGCTCCACTTCGACCCTGCTGCTGCTCCAGCCTGATTCTTTTCGAAGTTCCCCATTACTGCCGGTGCTGGTACCCTCCAGGTGCACGTGGTCATGATCCTTCCGAGGACCGTCGACAAAGGAGCAAGAGGATTCTATGCCCAGCAGCAGGTAGTCTACATCGGGGGATGAGGATTGTGAAGGGTGGTGTGAGCTGGATGGCAGAAAAGCTGTTTCATATCGCTTACGAGCCATATATGCCCCACCTCCTCCTGAACAACTGGGTATTGGTAGCTCGTGGTGGTGGTGGGTCGATGGTGGGTGGGGGGAACTTTCTCCGACCACGACCACGCTATGATGATGGCAGTGGGGACTGGTACTTTTGTACTCCGTTTGGGAAGACAAAGTCGTCGTGGAATTGGATGGATGAGGATGGGGCGAATTGCTCTGCTGGGTGTGGTTATCAACAGAAGAAGAAGTGACAAGATTCACACAGCTTTTACTGTGTTGATTATTCCATGTCGAGCAAGGTGAGCAATACGTGGGCTCCTGTTTTATTGTGTCAGAGTAATAATACGGGGCATTGTAATTTTCAATTATTTCGTTGTACGCAGCATCGTCGTCATTATCACCGTCGACTGAATCCTCATTAATATCCGGCGATGATGATGAAGCCAACCCTGCCTTGAAGGACGTTGACTTACTGTTACCACCCCTCTCTTGTGATGGGGAAGAAGTTTCTCCGATAACGTGATCCAATGGCTCCACGTAGTCTTCGCTCACGTTCACCTGCAAACAATGCGATTGTTATTATTATTCAATGTTCAAGACGAGTTGAGACAAAATCTCCAAGAAGTCTGTTGCCAAAGATGGAATGTAGTCTCTCGGAGTTGCCCATTTTGATGCATGCGAGGATGGATTCAGACTAATTAGTATTATGCAGCGGCGAGATTGCAAATACTGCATTCACCAACTACCCACGCTCCACACCTCGTCTGCAGTGTTACATGTATCGATTCTGCAAATGATACGACGAGTCATTGATGCTTGCTTCCTCAATAAAAATGTGAATTTATTGAAAACGCAAATCATTGCATTAATCATGAGAAATTGATGGATTCGTATATGCCGTGGTACAATTCTTGCATTGTAAAAAGTTCATTATTAAGTATACTACAAAAAATGCCACATAGACTAATCGCGATGAGATGAACAATGAACCACCACCATAATCACCAGCCATAGGAAATGGAAATGAATAAAATTAAAGCGTTATTCTAAGATCGAAGGCTAAGTTCCTAATATCTCTTATTTCATCTCCTCACCAATCTGCATGAGCAAATGGCGTTTGGTTTCGTCTCACGGAAAGTAAAGTAGGAGCAAATGAGACGATAGTGCGATAGGCGGACCATCTTTTAATTAAACTATGTCCAGTTGATTTCAATATCCCCAAAATGGGCTCCATCCACATTTATTATGCACATTGTTTCATTCAACTGTCCATATTTGTACGCACACCTTCGTGATCTTTACCAAGCTAATGCAAAAGATATAAAATAAACGTGAAAAACTTTTTCTCGTAAAATCACTACAGTTAAGTGAACTTGAGAATATAATGTTCGCCTTTTAAGCACAAATTGCACTTTGCGTTTATGCAGCTGTAAAATTATCAAGGGCGATAATTGGACTGTGCATAAATTGCATTTTACTGGAAATTGCACAGCATTCCGTGTAATATTTAGTCCCCAACTTTACAGCTCGAAATTTTTTGCCTCTAAAAAAACACAGGTAAAAATGTCCACGAATATTTCCTCCTTACAAATAGATCGCGTTTGATTTCGCCATCATAGCTATTTTCTAAGCGTATGATTGATAACTCAATTTCCTTCCGTCGTCTGGAATACTTTCCTCGCCGAAAGAGCATACGACTTTATAGTAGTAGAGACTTGGTAAACAGCTATAAATCTGTGTGTCTCTATTTACAAAGGGACTTTATTGCCCGGACACCTTAATCCGCTAGAGAGGTTCGCTCACTCGTTCCCAATTGAAACCCAATTCACATAAAAGCCCATGTAACACAAAGTACCAAAACAATCCGAATGAAATGCATATCAATTTCACATTCTCCACGTAATAAACGCAAAACTTTTTGTCTTACTTACGAGAAAATCCCTCGAGAAAGGTAACCCGTTCGCATTCCCGAAGGATTTTCACTAAAAGAACGGAAGTGGTAGCAGCGAATTACTTACTCTGGAGAAAAAAAAGATGATCATGGGAATGGATCTGGTGTTAGGTACCGATAAAGCCAGCCTGGTGGCCAGTGTCAAATTGGTGGAGGTGGTGGAACAAAGAAGTGTGTGTGAGAATCAGGTATTTGTTTCGTTGCATGCGTGACATGACGACTGTACTTTTACATTATCATTCATGTCAATTGAACTCAATCACGAAACGACAATACCACACACACACGCGAACAAGAACACGAGAGAGTGGGATTTTAGCCTGCTCTAGACGAATATCTAACTTATACGAGCTGACCAATAAAGAAGTTCCCATTTATTTTAACTGGCTGACACATGTGACACGAGACAAATGAGCAATTCCTCGTCATGACTTAACCAAACTAAAACTAAAAGTTTTTTTTCGTCTGTCGCCTCCTTCTCGTGTCTAACGTCCGTAGGGATTAATGTTTACTTAACCCTGGTCGTGAAAAAAATGACCCGAGACGACGATCGTTTCAAAATGTCTAAATTTTTTAATAACTGCAACCCTTCTCAGATGACGGATAATGTTTCTACGAATAAAATTGTTTATGATGATCATTAATGTTTAATTACATTACGAAGGTTATTATTTTGCTGATGTGTTATTATGCAATGTAATCTAATCAACTTCTGTTTTTTTTTCTCGTCCTTGTAATTACTTACATCTCGCATTTATTAATATTTGACCAACAACAGCTCAATTAATTAAAGCATGCATATATTAATTACAATTGTGGTACAATTATTATTACCGTGATGGCAGTGCAGGAGGGGTTGGAGTGCAAAGAGTGGGTTAATTGAGGAGTAAAATTTGCACTTTCAGAAGAATTATTATTTACTCCTTTATAGTCAAAATACTGTATCAATATTTGTTCATGTTCTCATGCAGGTAGATTTTTGGACGAGTCACCCACCTCTCGTAGCAACAATTATGCAACACCACATGCCGTGTATGGCCGTCCTTCTCAGTGTGTATAAGCAATCGCAACAAAGATTTATTATTGCAGCGTAAAGCCAAAGTGGGCACTGTGAAGCGATTGATTGAACTATTATTATTTTAACAAATATCACGAATAAGTAGTTGCGACTGGTGTCCGTCCGTCAAAAGCCGTAAAAAGTGAACAGTGGTAAATAGTGAAGGATTGAAAAATTGCTCGTTTTTTTTCTGGCGAGGAACAAAATAATGTTATCACTTAAAAAAGTCAATTTGCAAATGAAATGCGAAGGGATGAAATGTGAGCGAGCGATTAGAAATATAACGGAACTGGAGAAACAAGCAAGTTGCCGTTGGTGCTGTTGCTGCTGTTCATAGACTAAGAGTTCGCTCACTATTTACTTCGTTCCACACCAACCACCACCGACCGACGAGGAGACCGAGAAAGCTAGAGAAATCCCGAACCCCCGTTTTTCAGACCCGTCCTTCCTTCCTTCGTATGTATGCATGCAGACACAGAAGAGAGCCAACCATTGTCTCCAAGGGACGTCCACCCAACGGGTAGCAGCTTCAAAGCAGAGGAAGATGAGACTTGCTGATGAAATTGCTCAATATCGACGTACTTACTTACAGATGAGAGACTTGCCAATTTCAAAAGTAAATTGCACCACGAACGACCACTTCTTTATGTAACGTATATACCCATCCCTGTGTGGAGGATGGTTTTCTGCTCAGAAATGAGATAGCTCACTTTATGTAAACAGTTTTCATATGTCAAGTCAATAATTATGCTACATGAAGCATTAATCCACCTCGGATCATCTCCCTCCTACACGTTGTTTAGATAACCTTCAACAAATTCGGTTTCCTAATTTTCCACTTCACTCCAATCTTCTTGAGCAAAAGGAGAAGTTGGTTGCTCAATCCCTTTTGTCTGATTTCACTTCATTGTTAACTCGAGTTCTGGAGGTCGAAGGAGGAGACACACAAAGGAAGAAAGCTTCTTCGTCCATGGATTGTAATGATAATCAGGAACAGCACTCATTACGTACGTACAAATACATATATCTATCTGCCATCCCTTTAGCCGCAGCAAACCCCCATGCATGGCTACGTACATACATCACCAGATCGGCTAATCCTAAGCTCCGGCGTGTGCGATGTAAGTACGTACTCGATGCATAACAGGATCGTGGAGAGTAAATTAGAAGGATTTCAACATTTCCGCAATGAATGATGAAAACCACTGCAGCAGCAGCACGGGAAGTCAGACAGGGAAACAAATGAATGGGAAAAGTTGGAGGATTTATCCTGTACAGCAATCAACCAGCCAACCAACCAACCTTCCGATGATGTCAGTAATTCGATCTGGGTAATTTGATTGTGACCACCTCCAATCTGGAGAGAAAAAGAACGTATCGCTCTCTCTCCGTCCGTATCGGTATTCCAAGAAGAGAAACGGGATCACCAGCAGAGTCCAAATTAACCAATTCGATTCAACCAATGAAGAATAAATCTTGAGCCAGATTTCTTTCCCTGTCAACCTGCTCATCGTTTCGGCTGACATAATGGTTAAAATCCGAGAGTGTATGTGCATCCAATTGAATGAGGCAGAGAATAAGGATAGCAGAACAGAAAGCCGTTCTCGGGGTTGGTGGCTTGTAAATGCAATACCTGATAAACCTTGTGCTCGGCAAACTCCATGTCACCGTAATGATTGCAGTGAAAGTCTTTAAATAAATCTCGAAGGCCATCATCATACATACACGAATAAGAGGATTTTATCCGCCATCCTTGCCCTTTCGTCGACACGGCTGCACCGCTGTTACGGAGACTGCATAGTTTCTGCATCAAATTCCTCTTCCTCCTCTGTTCTTCTTCTTAAGAACAAAATACTCTCGTAACCTTTTCTTTTGTTCACTTTTATTACATTCTTATTCCGGTCCTGCATCCGTTTCAAGGTTTCTTTCACTCATGGCTCGGCTGCTCTTGCATATCTTGGCGGATCCAAGAACTTTGCTCATACTCTCCAAAATTATTTCACCATGAAATGAACGTTTTGATGAAATTGTTTTATCTTCGGATCGAAAAGGGGCCTTTCATGGACTCTGCTTGCTCAAACAAGAGAAAGGGCTGACGACAAGATTGTGTGCCAGGAATTCTAAATGGATAAATTAACTTACTTTTCTCTTTTCTAAAGGATGAGAGCAGATGGGGAAGATTAAGAGTAAACATCTTCTGATCGTCGTGTTCTTCCATAACATTATAAAATGAGAGAGGTAAAAAAAACTTGCAAATGGCTAGAGAAAGGTAGCTATTTATGTGACCACCCTGTTATTATCGGTTGCGGAATCAAAATCATCATCATCATCATCATGCGGGCCGAGTAGTTCGTGTCATGCCTCTGGAGGAGAGTCTGCCAAGTTGATAATGTCAGATCTTGATGCCCTTTGGATATGTTGTGTAATACCCTGTGAGAAAATCAAGCGGTTTTGACGCCATGGCCTCACTTGTGCCCGCCACACCCCTTTGAAGGGACGCCTAATAGTAAACTTATCTCACTTAAACCTTCAAAAATTCAATTCTGCTCA